CGCGGAGGGGCAAAATGGTAATTTGCCAAGGCAAATTTTTTAGGAAAACCTCTTTTCTGTCTCTTTCTCTCCCTCTTTCTCCCCGCGTCTTTCCCCTCCCCTGTTTTCGTCCGATCATTCCAAACCTCCATAACCTCTGGTAGTTTGGAGTTTTTTCGACGACCAGAAATTTATCATGCCGCCCACGCGCTGCCAGCACGTTTGGTGGCGCGTGGGCAGTATGGTGGGGACCGCATTCAGTCCTAAAATGATCCCTTGGTCCTTACGAGCGCATAGGTACTCGCGGATTTCAATTTGGATAACGTTTGAACCCCGAACTGATATCGCCTGTTGTGTTATTTCAGGGTTCGGTATGTTTGAGCTGTTCGATCGTAGTCATTTTCAGATATGTTGATTTATATATTTCCAGGATCATATAGGATTTGACGGATCGTAAATCAGAGCCCCGAATACTCCGAAAATGCCAACCCTAGGAACTGCCGATTTGTACGATCGTGATTTGTTCGACAGTCCGATCGAGATCAAACTTTCAGGACATGTGTCCTAGGTATATTAGAACCTCTAGGAGCTTCCGGATAAGAATTTAGAGGTTGAGGACCTACGGGGTCCCGGGTTGACTTTTGGGACTTTAGCGTTTTGTTGAGTCCTGAGGCACTTATAAACCATTCCAAATGTAAGGAAAGCTTTTGTGGGCATATGAACGATTCTAAAGTTAGTGCACACACTTCTAGGAGCGGGGGGTTAGGGTTTTAATTAAATACTTATAACGAGCAGTTTTATTAATTAAATATTCATGATGGTTTGATTAGGCACACGAGCTTGGACCGACCCCCAAGAAGAACCTTCAAGAGGTCCAGCTAGCTTGGACCAGGAGTGAGTGGACCTTTGCTTTCATAAATGGTTTTATGCAATTTAAATTCATTATTTGATCTTGAATAAGTATGCAATAGATCGAGGGCTTTCAAGCATGTGTTGCTAAGATTAAGTATTTTATTTATTTGCTGCCGAGACGAGAGTACCTAAAGAATAGTGAAAATAAGGATTTTAGAAATCGGATAGGATGGCAACAGAGTTCTAAGATTAGAAGAGTTAGTTTTATTTATTCCAAACCTTCTAGGAAGTTATGTTTTCTTTAATCGCCTTAGGTAACAAAGTATTTTAAGTATTGTCTTCGATTAAGTCAGTATGCTTAACTAGTGTCCCTTGAGTCTTGCGAGGAGGGCGGATCAGGCTAACCTGAATCTGCGAGGGTGTGTCACCACGGTGACACGAGGAATAGATAGTAATTAAGGGAATTGACGAAAACAAATAAGTATACCTAGGTGGTAGGTTGAACTTTACTTCAATGTCTTTCAGCAGGATTAATGTTTGGTAATATATGTATAAATATGAATGCATGAGTTCAGTACGAGTATATATGAGGAAGTTGATTCAGTTTTTATAACTGTTTTTACAGTGGGGTTAGTATGTTCTTATGTTATTTTTCAAAAACTTTGTTTTTGGTCTACTCACATTTTTCAATGTTTTGCGCCCCCAGGCAATAGGCGTGCATAGTGATCCACCATAGGGCTGTTCCCACTTTCCGCGCTTCCCTATTGTGATGTAGGGCTCTTCTGTAAATGAGTTGACTTCTTTTGTAATTTCTTAGTGATTGCTCTAATAACCTGCCCTAGAACTTAGATTTAAATGTTAGAATGTATATATACACACATGCTGGCAGTTGGATTGTATATATATGTGTAGGGGTCTTTTTGTTCCAGCAGCCTGACGAATGGGCTTGGGCTGCCGTAAGAAGAAAACGCACAGAAATTCCCCAAGTGTCCGAGTTCTGGAACCAAACTCCTAAAGGAGTCCTTGAAAGATTTGATAAACCTTAGAAGAACATCCTTAGGTTTTCTTCACTAATTGCCAAATAAGCATGATAAAATCAATTAATGGCTTAGCTTGAGGAGACTGTGGCATGGGAGCTAAACTTTCACAAGTTTAGCAATTTGAGAGAGAGAGAGAAGCATGGATTTCCTACTGAGAGTGAAAAATCTGAAGTGAGGCAGAGAAGAACTAGAACGATTTCTATTCTAAAGGAAGAATAAAAATCAAACGAAGAAGGAAGATTGGGTGGCTTGAGTAAATTCCAGGTAGCTTGACAAAGCTTGGTCAGGCTCTGGATTCTTGATTTTTGCTGGGTTGAAGAGGCCCCTTTTATAGCCACGAAGAACCCTAATTTTGTCTTAATTTTTTCCTCCTTTTGTCATTGCCCTCTTCCACTTTATCCTTCCTGATGAATTTCTCCATCCAAGAAGCCTGGGTAAGGAACCCTTTCTGGTTCCAATGGTTTGACGCAGCTGGACCTTCCCATAGTGGGGAAGGCGCCACCTGCTTTTCTTATGGTTTTTTCAAGACATAGCTTACAGAGGAACAGAGGAGAGATGAAGCCTTTTATCCAATGGACACTCCCCTCACCTCCGTGGCTTTCCTCTGGTCTAGACTTTTGCAAGTTGCTGGGCTGGAATTGTGTATATGGTATTGGGTTGTGGGTCTGATCATGCGATGGGTCTCTGTCAGACTGTTGGAAGGGCTTTGTTAATCTTGGGCATTCTATTGATATGGGTTGGGCTAGGCATTATGGTAGGCCATTGGATATTTTCAAGCATGGGACCATTTTCTCTTCTCTCTCATGCTAACCCATGTGTTTGGGTGCCAGGAACGGGCTCGAGTTCTAGAGCCCCAAGTGGCTTAAAACTTACGTTCCTTGAACCCTCAATGGGCCTTGTGATTGCTCGTTCCCTTCCATGCCACAACCTTCTCAGTAAGCCTCGGTTTAATTTTGTGGCTTGGGTCCACTTGTGACATAGCTTGGTGCTAGAATAATGGCTCTTTTCGCATGATGCCTATGCTTGTGCTTGAGTTTTATTATTCTGAGTCAAGTAACACCTAATGAGCATGTGAGCTTGATTTTTGTAAAGTTGGTGTGTTTTTGGCCCCTTTGTATGTGCTTACTTGGCATGACGCGTGGTTGGTAGCATGTATTAGCGGATCCCACAAATGCTCTTTTGTTCTAATTGAGCCTTTTCATACCCTCTTATCCGTGTTGGGCTAGGAATTAATTTGGGCTTAGCCCCTTGGATTTTTGGGCCTCAACATTCGCCCCCTTTATTATTAGGGCCATGGGCAATACCTTGAGATGGGTCGAATAATCAATGCTGGCCCAAAAGCAAAAAATCAATTCCCTGCGGCTGATGTGACCTTCTCATTTCCCACGTGTGTGCTGCCGTGACTATCTTCCAGCAGTTTCTTACGTTCCCCAGGTACGCTTCCATCAAATATATATATATATTTTTTTTTCTTCTTTCTCCTTTTCATTCTCTGACTTCTTTCTTTTGTGCGCGCGAGTCCCCAAAACTGGTTGCCCCCTTTTCGATTTTTTTGCTAGTTCCTTCTCACACTCAGGTTTAGGGAACCTTTGGAGAACAAGAAATCATAGGGAGGCTTCATCCATAACTGCCAGTTGGTTACGCTTAGAGAAACCGCTCGCAACATCTGGGAAAAGCCACGACTCCTCTTTAAAATCCTCCAAAATTTTCAATTTCTTCTTTAATCCGTCAAAACCCAGGCTTGGAAAAGTTGCCCTGCAAAGCGTGAAGCAATTTTGACAGCGAAAGCGCAAGGCGGTTCCCCTTTTTCTTCTGATTTCGCGAACTGCTGGAAAACACCGTCAAGAGCAGTGGTAAGCATCATCCTCTTATTTCTTCTCTTACTTCTTCATCTTATCATTGCAGACACATGCATTTATGCATATGCACATATATGTACAGATGACACACCCACGCATTTAGATTTTGAGAATTTCCCATGAACAGAGTGTCCTCTTAATTCTTTTTGCTGTATATCCGCCCAATCATTTATGCCTGGGTTCGAAAAATTTTTGGGTATGAACCACTGATTAGGGTTTTTAAGCATACTTGAAGCAATAACTTGTCTTGTTTAACCATGAAACTTCTAGATGGTATCAAGGCATGGTAGAGAGGGCAGGGGTAGGCATTATGCATACCAGCCACTCCATGGCTTTCTTCGAACCATTTACCCCTGTGGCTTGGCCTATTACATTTCCCATGCTGGTTAGTCCATTTGGTAACTCCCATATAATTATTCCTTCCATTTCCCCAAAGAAAACTCTCTCAAACTCCCCCATAGCCTTCCAAACCCATTAGATGTGTTGCATGCTTCAAAACCCCTTTCTCCTGAACTCAAAATGAAATATCTTATTCTTCAAACCTGTTCATCTAGTTGTCTAGTAGTATATGTCCAAAAATTAGCCCAGTCAAAGAAACATAAACACCTCAAAACCCAGTTGGAGGATGAATAGCTCATCTCTGCCTAACACTCTGTGCTATGCACGGATTTGTCTTTGCATGCGAGTTTCTATTGCTTTTTTCACCTGTATTGTTGTTTTTGAGGTTGCTAGCTACAACATATTCAAATTTCAAGGCAATTAGAATGTCTATCTACCTGAAAACGTGTTCAAGATAAGACTAGTATTCTCTTACTTCCTGTCTGAAAGTTCCACACTAGTGTGAATTTATTCACTCTTTCATGTAGCCTTCCTTTGCTCTAATGGCATATGGCCCTTCATCAAATTGTATGTCTATGTCTTGGCTATAATCTTTCAAAGGTGGAGCTCCATCCAAGAAGTATAGCCATCTAAGTGTAATATGTTCATCCTTGTCTAATCTGTTGATGTAGGCTCGGATTCTGTCTTGCATGTCGATTTTCCAAAATTCCTAGTCATCTAGCAAGTTTAGCCCTGTCAGAAGTTGTACAAACTGAAACACGCTTCTTTGTTTCCAAATGTTGTTTTAGTGGTTGTTCTCCTTGGGAGGTGAATTGAGGATTACAGACCAATTCAGAGGAGTGAGGTAAATATTTAAGATGCTTAATTTCTGGGAATCTACTTTAGAGGTTAAATTCTTAAGATTTTGTGGATTGTTGACCACCTTTACTCCATGGATGACAATCTCAAAGCAGGAGGGCCGCTCTTGTTGCTTGAGGACGCCCGTGAGAATCCCGTTGTCGGTGATGAGCCATTGCCAAAAACTATTCCTATAGTTGAACCTGCCTCCATATCTAGGTGCTGCATTGAGAAGGGCCTGTTTGCAGCCGTTCCCTTATTTTTTCAAGGGCTGGTCAGAGTGGGTTGACCGTGAGCTGCTGGATCCGTCCACATGCAATATTTTACGTAGAGCGCAGGTTCTGGATGCCATCTTCCTTTCCAAACTGTGGGATATCCATACTGAAGCGAAGATGCTTCGTCATGTGGTCCGGAGGTGGAGCGCTGCTACCCATACCTTTGTATGCTCATGGGGAGAATTTACGCCTACCCTTGAAGATGTGGCGAATATCTCCCGCCTTCCAATTTGCGACGACCGGAGTCCTTTCGATATTGCCCTCACCCTGGAAGAGGTAGACAAGCTTGCGATTTTGCGGAGAGGCGCTCCTACTTCTCCCAGCACCTCTCTTCGGTTCAGTAACTGGATACAGTATTTTGGTGATACAAACAGACAAGGACCTTGCCGGTTGGCTACATTTATAGCTTTGTGGCTTGGGTAGTTCGTACTTTGTGATTTTTCGCAGGATTGCTTGCATGAGCGTGTATTCCCCTTGGCTTTGGCCTTAGCTCGAGGCGATACCATCCCCCTAGCCCCCATGTTCTTGGGGCATCTATACCGGCTGCTTAATCAGGCTTAGCTTTTAGAGAAGAGTGCATCCGGAACTATGGGCGTGGAGACCCTCTTGAATTCTGGTTTCCTGCAGGTATTTTTATGGGAGCGTTTTAGAGGATTGGAGGTACACTCACTCCCTCACTCGCATGCTATGAAGATGGCTGATTGGGGCAGGGGTTCTTATATGCCGGAAAGTCTTCCCTTAGTCTGCAGATGGTTTAAGCTAATGCAAAGGAAAGGTCAGGACTTTCTGAAGCTATTGGATAACGTTGAGAACTTTGTCTTTCGCCTTTACAGCACCTCGGCAGAGACCTTCACCTTCGTGCCCTTTTATGCTGATGTTAGTGACACCGTTGAGGTTCCAGCGGCCATGTTGCAAAGCAGCCAGTTCAAAAAGTATGCCATGTTGAACGTCGCTCCTATTCCACTGCCTACTCTTGGAGACAGTCGCTCGGAGATTTCTGTACCTTACTCACCTCATCGGGTTAGGCGGCAGTTTGGGCTTGATCAAGGAGTACCAAGCAGTCTTAACCATGCTGACCCCTTCGTGCTGCACAGAGTCTTCTGGAGCAATGACCCTATACCAAACTGTTGTAGGCCCCTTGTTTTAGCTAGCAAGAGGAGGATTGGCGGCTTCTCCCGAGGTTACCAAGCTTACTGGAACCGCTGCCTCGCCTCCTTGCGTGAATTTCAATCTTTTCCTGGAGATAGATTGCCTCTTACAACAGCTCATCTTGCCGGCTTGGTGTTGGAAGAGAAAGCCATCCCTCTAAGCCAAAAACGCAATTTGCCTTTTATTTCCAAGAGCGGTGATATTGTTGGAGAATTTCCTAAGACAAAGCCAAAGCTGGGAGTACAGAGTCCTTGTGGTTTCGGGAAAAATGCAACACCAGTGTCAGGTAAAAGGAAGCGAGAGGAGGAGCAGAATGTGAAGGAGAAGCAGACTGCCCGTAAACCCAAAAGGTTTATTCCAAAGGTAGCCCCAAGTGGCCCTCCTCGAACCAAAGAAGCAACTCCCCCACAACGTCCACAGTCTTCAAAGCCTGCTACATCCGAGAGGCGGGGTCGGTGCTGGCAAGGTACCCTGGAAACTACCCCTCTCCGCAGTTAACTGTTACCTCCTCTTTAAATTTTTTTTTACCTTTTTTTTTTTTTTTTTTTTTTTTTTTTTTTTTTTTTTTTTAAACGCACGTTGTTTTTTTAAAATATATATATAGGGAAAATGGGTACCACTCCAAAGAGGAGAAGAAGTAGCACACCCTCCGTGTCCCACAGGCTACTCCAAAACGTCGCAGCATGCGTGTTTTGCAAGCAAAATTCACTGGGGCTCGTACAAGCGGCAGCAAAGCCTCTAGAACTAGAACTGTGGTGACAATTGATGATGACAGCGATGATGGTGGCACTACTGAGTCCGAGGCTAGTACTCCGGAGCAAGAGGATACGGATAACATCAGTGACATGCATGAGGATCCCGATGGGAATGACAATTATGACCACGATGGGGATGTTCCTTTCGACGATTATACAGAAAAGCAAGGCGGCTCGGATACCTTTTCTTGGTCTGCAGGTAGCAATGTGCAATGGTTCTGAGGTTCGTGATTTCCTCTCCCTTCCTTTTTATTCTCATCCCACTTCCTTCCTGTTTTCGTCTAACATTTTCTTAATTCTGCAGGCTGCATTTTTGCTTGGTGTAGGACTGACTGGCTCGACACATCTCGGGATTTCTTTCAAGATTGAAGAACACATTTTATCTTGTATAACTTAGTCTGATCTAGGCTGTAATTCCTTGTAGGCAACCTTAAGACTTGTATCACGGTAGCTTGGGCACTTGCACTGTTGTTGTGTTCAAGCTGCCGGAACCTTTTTTTTTTTTTTTTTTTTTTTTTTTTTTTTTTTTTTTTTTTACATTGTAAACTTTTGCTTAGTAGTATATATATATATATATATATATATATATGATGCTTGGTTGGCAGAAGTCTTTTGCTTGAGATTTTTCTATAGGTTGGGCACCTTTTGAAACAAGATAGATGCCGTCAAAATTTTGGTAGGATCCATGCTCGAAGCTTCTTAGTGCTTATATATATATATATTTAGTTTGGGGTGCATGCCAATTTCAAAGGCTCAACTTGGCACATTTTTTTTTTGATAAAGCATGAAGCGTGCTAATAACCCAGGATCCCATGCAAATGGCTTTGACTTGGCATGTCTTCTATAAAACAACCTTTCTCTCTCGCTCTTTTATTTTTTATTTTATTTTTATTTATTTTTTATTTTTTTAACAACACACGCAGATTCCACATTTTTTTTTTTTTTTTTTTTCAATAAAAAAAAAAAAATTCTCTTTCATTTCGAACCTCGCTAGAGCCTCGGGGGTCACTCTTCACGCATTCCAGGAAGACGTTCACCAAGGGAACCTCCTACCGATGCATGGCCAGATTCACCTCCTTCTTCTGCCAACGCAGCACGGAGAAGTCCACCTTCTCCACCCCCTCAGCAAAAACATCCTCAATACCAAAGGGGAGCTTCGGCGGTGACTGCAGATCAAAATGAGGAAGTCTCGGCCCCGACCCCATCACACTCTGGTGAGCTTCCTCCAACGCCTTCCTCTTTCCCATCACGTCGGCAACCCAACCCTCACCGTCATCTTTATAAGGCGCTTCCCAATCGCCTGCTGGGCACCTCCCTTCTCTGCCTTCTTGGCCCGAGACTCCCCCACTCGCTTTTGCATCTCAACGTCATCAATATCCACAACCACCTTCGTGCTTCCCTTTATAATACTTGCCACTGCACATCAAAAGCTAAGTTAGTCACAACTACACAAAGGAATCAGAAGACAAACAAAGGTGACGTAAGTACTTACTTCCATGCAAAAGTTCAGACACAAACAGATTTTTCTGGGTGACTAGGTTCCGGTACTCACGCTCGGTACTCACACTCGGCCTTTGACAGCAGTGACCTCACCCTCTCAACTAGACCTGGCAAACGGGTTGTATTAACGGGTTTCGGGTCGTGTTCGTGTCAACCCGTTAATTTAACTGGTTAACACGACACAACCCGTTAAGTTAACGGGTGACAAATACTAGACCCAAACACGACCCGTTACAATTCGCGAATATCCGACACAACCCGTTAACCCGTTAAGAATAAACCAAAAAAACAAAAACAAAAACAAAAAACCTATCACAGCTTCTCTACCCAACCAGCCAAACACCTTCTCTGTCTTTTTTCCCCCAAATCCCAACCCTAAATCTTTAAGTTAAATAATGTACAGTGGAAGCGGTGTATATGGCAAATCTATATGAAAACATGCTATTTCATTTTCTTATGTATTCCAATACACCATTTCTTGTCTTGGTTAATAAACAAAAACATATATAATAGGAAGTGAAAACGAAAGGGTTATAATAGGAACCTACCATATTTCTTGTCTTTGTCTAGTCTTTATAACTAATGTTGGATTTAGTAAGGCTGACTACGTTATGAAGAGAATAGCCCCAACAATATGAAAGCTGGTGAAAAAAAAAAAAAAAAAAAAAAAAAAAAAAAAAAAAAAAAAAAAAAAAAAAAAAAAAAAAAAAAAAAAAAAAAAAAAAAAAAAAAAAAAAAAAAAAAAAAAAAAAAAAAAAAAAAAAAAAAAAAAAAAAAAAAAAAAAAAAAAAAAAAAAAAAAAAAAAAAAAAAAAAAAAAAAAAAAAAAAAAAAAAAAAAAAAAAAAAAAAAAAAAAAAAAAAAAAAAAAAAAAAAAAAAAAAAAAAAAAAAAAAAAAAAAAAAAAAAAAAAAAAAAAAAAAAAAAAAAAAAAAAAAAAAAAAAAAAAAAAAAAAAAAAAAAAAAAAAAAAAAAAAAAAAAAAAAAAAAAAAAAAAAAAAAAAAAAAAAAAAAAAAAAAAAAAAAAAAAAAAAAAAATCGGACTCCACATCTATTTTAACTCTATATCTGTGGGCACCTGATATCTATAAGGGTTCACCCACCCTAGTTACAGCATTCCTTTCTATTTCGCCTAAAATTTCTATTTCTGCAAATATTTCACGTGTTTCTATTTATGGTTCCTATGGAGCTACATTGCAACAAATCTTCTTTTTCTGCAACATTGCTTCTATGATCTTAGGAGCATTGGCCACCATGGCCCAAATGAAAGTAAAAAGACCTCTAGCTGATCAGTGTATGTGACGAAGTGGAACTACAAGTGAATCTTAATAAGTCATGATACTTTCCGTATTGTTGAGTCCTACTTTGGTCTCTGGTTTGATGGTTGCACATGCAAAAAATCTAGTACATTCCGTTTTGTTTCCCATTCCAGTCTTTCGCGACACTTCAGGTTTACTTCTTTTGTTAGGTCTCGACTTCTTCGCAATGATCTTCCTAGTAGTTCATATAGGAGCTATAGTCGTTTCATTCCTATTCGTTGTTATGATGTTACATATTCAAATGTCGACCAAAGGCTTTGTGGAGCCCGACAAAAAAGTAAAACTCCCCACTTACTACAACCCCGATTCCTATTAAAAGTAAAATTCCATTTTTATCTTTTTTAAGTGCCTCATAAGCGAAGAAGCTACACTGTGATCAGGCGTTAAGAGGTATTTATATCCCCCCATAAATGCAATTTTTCTGTCGTGCTCAATATAGCTCTCAGTCTATTTTTAGAGACAGGGAGAAATGCTTCTTTAGCTGTAGTAGGTTATGAAAGAAAGGAGGGAGGAACAACCAACAAAGTAACCGACTCCTTCACTCACTCACTATGTAGCGCAAGGAAGTGCCTCCCCCACTAGCAGAAGCTAAGTGCTTGAAAAGCACTCTAGCCCCGACGTGATATGATTAGTGAAAGCAACTGCCTATGCTCTAGGCGGAGATTCTTGACCCTTTTTTCGAGAGAATAAAAGTCTTTTTCCATCTTCTCTCCCTCCAGCCGGGCACAATAGAGGCAGGCCTCCTCCTTAAAATAGTGCGTTCCCTTCTCTTCCCATAAGCTAAGTTCTTTCTGGGCCTCTTCTAACTCTGCCTCGATAATTCGATTTTTGAGGCCAGGACATTGGCTTCCGCCAACAGTGGATTACTAAGGATCGCATCCCACGCATATTCTACATTATAGCCTGCAACTGATTTAGTTTCCACTTCTGGGAGATCAAATGGAGCTCGATTAGTTTATGCTAGACGAGAAATGAAGAACATAACCAATACAGGGAACAGGGGAATACCGGATCATATCTGCTTTTGCACCATGACAATCTCACTTGAATTACGGGGACCTACATATATTAGTGCAATATACCGGGGTCCCCGGCCATAACCACATGTGCAAGTTTCCCTGCATGTGGCTCGTTCTTGCTTTCGCTTTCTGAGGCGCTGCATGTGAATCAGCATGGGAGAAGGGGGCGGAACTGAACACTTTCATCTTCAGAGCATTGTCCAAGTGAATAGGTAGCGCCTACCAAGAAAAGTTTTCTTGAAGAGGCTGGGCTAGTTCCTTTTCGGCGCCCGCCTTTATTCATCTATACCAGCTGCCACGGACGACCCAGTATGAACGATTTCAGCGCCTCTCTCTAGATAAGAAGCAGAATACACCACCACCTACAGCCCTTTCCTCTACCGAGGACTTCCACGAAATGAAAATGGGCGGCATCTTCGTATGCTCGACATTTGTTGCCCGGGGTTATCTCCCGGAGTACTCCTATGGCCGATCTATACTCTATGGCCGATCTGTCACCCAACCTACTTAAACAACCTCAAAGGCTTGACCCGAGTGACACCGTTGCAATTCTCATCTATTCCGCTGCAATTCACCTACCTATCTGCCATGGCTGATTGTCCGTCCCTGTTTCTCAAGTACCACTGATCATATGGCTTCATCGACCCCTTCTCTTCAGGGGGAGAGGGGGAGTGAAGAGAAGTTGTCTCTGCTGTTGATGTTGCTAGTGTTGTTGCTCATGCCTATTATGTCTCTTGCTAAGGACAATGTTATTGCTCATGCCTTGCCTTGTTGCTCTTGCTGGTGCTAGTGCCTTGTATTGCTCTTGCTGGTACCAGTATTATTGCCGCTGCCTTTTATGGTGCCAGTATTGTTGCTCATGCCTTTGCTGGTGTGTTTCCCCTATGTCTCTTGCTGGGGACAATGTTATTGCTCTTGGCTGTTATGACTCTTGCTGGGGATAGTGTTGATTATTGTTTGATGATGCCTGTTATGTCTCTACCTTGTTGCTCTTGCTGGTGCTAGTGCTTTGTATTGCTCTTGTTGGTACCAGTATTATTGTTGTTGCCTGTTATGGTGCTAGTATTGTTGCTCATGCCTTTGCTGGTGTGTTTCCCCTGTGGTCACACCCATTGACCTTGCCTTTGTTCTCGACTTTCTTTGCCTTGCCTTACCCTATTTTTTGGGGTTTGGCTTTACCTTGCCATACCTTACCATGCTTTGCCTTACCCTATTCATCGGCAGATTTCCATTTGCCAAGTAGTCAATGATGGTGCCTTGCCCGCTAGGGTCCTCATCAATTCGCATTGAGTATACTTGCTCTATTTCTTCAATGCTTGGCTGGTAGTGGTGTTCGATCAGGATGGAGCATTTGAACTGGGTGTCCAGCGCTAATCCTAGGCTTGCCAGTGCATCTGCATGAGTGTTCTTTGCCCGAGGAATTTGTTGGATGGTGAAAGTGGGGAATTCCTTCAAAAGTTCTTGGACATTGTCGAGATACTTAACCATTCTCGGATGTTTTGCCATGTACTCTCCTGAAGCTTGATTTGTAATCAATTGGGAGTTTGAGTAGATGGCCAATTTCTTGATCAATAGTTCTTTTGCTAGGCGCAATTCGGCGAGCAATGGCTCATACTCTACTTCATTGTTTGAAGTTGGAAGGCCTGGTGTGATGGCCTGCTCCAACAAAGTTCCATTTGGGGTGATTACGACAACTCTTGCTCCAGCTCGATTATGATTTGATGCTTCGTCTACGCATAATTGCCACATGTCTTTGGGCAGGTCTCTGCAAATGAGGTATCGTCTACTTTCGAATTTTCCTTGTTTTTTATGACCAGCTTCTCTTCTTCAGCTGTTGGAGTAAACTCTATAACAAAATCAGCTAAAACTTGGGCTTTTATAGCAGTCTTCGACCGATAGAAGAGGTTGTACTGACTGAGTTCAATAGCCCATTTCATGAGCCGCTGAGAAGCGTCGGGGTTGTGAAGGATCGATCAAAAAGAAAATTATGTTATGGTGATTATTTGGTGAGCTTAGTAGTAGGGTGTTTACTTTCTTTATCGAGGAGTGCTTTTGACGTGTAGAATACCAGATGTTGTGCCCCCAACTTATCTTGGATGAGAGTTGAGTTGACTGATGAGTTGGACACTGCCATGTAGATAAGCAAATTTTTGCATGGTACTAGTTTTGAGAGCAAGGAAGGTGAAATGAGGTAGGTTTTTAAGTTTTAAAAAGCAACTTCGCACTCGTCGTCCAATTTGTCTTTTTGTCATTTTTTCAAGGCTTTGAAGAATGGCCTACACTTGTCAGTAGACTTTGTATCTTCTTTTGTGGTAGGCGATTTCATGTTTGTCTTGATTTGTTTTGAATATGCCCTGATGCCTCTTTGGGTGACTAGGTATCCCAAAAATTGGCTAGATGAGACTCCAAATGTGCACTTGTTCGAATTCAACTTCATGTAATTCTTTTAGAGCAAGCTGATTGCTTCGACAAGATTTTTGATGTGGTCTGCTCATCAGGGAGCTTTGACTAGCATGTCGTTTATGTAGACCTCCATAGCCTTTGATAGGTTGCTTCAACCTAAAGAGCATGACTTTGCCGCAATATGTACCTCTTTCAATGATGAAAGAGGTCCTTGTTTTGTCGTCTCATGCACCATGATTTGATTGTAGTCGAAGTAAGGGTCCATGAAGCTTAGCAAATGATTGCTAGAAGTTGAATCTACGAGATGATCAATTCTGGGTAACGGAAAGTGGTCATTAGGGAATGCCTTATTGAGGTCGGTGTAGTCGACGCAAACTCTTCACAAGCCCTAAGCCCTTATCTTTTCTTGCTACCATAACAACATTGGCCAGTCATTAGGGAATGCCTTATTGAGGTCGGTGTAGTCGACGCAAACTCTTCACAACATCCGACACAACCCGTTAACCCGTTAAGAATAAACCCAATAAAAAATAAATAAAAACCTATCACAGCTTCTCTACCCAACCAGCCAAACACCTTCTCTATCTTTTTTCCCCCAAATCCCAACCCTAAATCTTTAAGTTAAATAATGTACAGTGGAAGCGGTGTATACGGCAAATCTATCTAAAAACATGCTATTTCATTTTCTTATGTATTCCAATACACCATTTCTTGTCTTGGTTAATAAACAAAAACATATATAATAGGAAGTGAAAACGAAAGGGTTATAATAGGAACCTACCATATTTCTTGTCTTTGTCTAGTCTTTACAACTGATGTTGGATTTAGTAAGGCTGACTACGTTATGAAGAGAATAGCCCCAACATTATGAAAGCTGGAGAGAAGAAGAGCATAAGAGAAGAACAAGAGGAAGAAGAAAAGGAAAAGGAGAAAGGAGAAAAAGACAAAAAGGAAAGAAGAAAAGTAAACAAGGGAAAGAAGAAAAAGACACAGAAAAGAAGAAAGAAAAGGGGAAGAAGAAAAGAAAAAAAAAATTATCTTGTAAAATTACAAAATTAACCTCCTTAACGGGTAACGGGTTAACCCGTTTTCGACCCGACACGACCCGTTAGCTTAAGGGTGGCTAACAGGTTCACCCGTTTTCAACCCGACCCAATAAGCTCAACCCAAATACTGATAATTTCTTGCGAATTCGTGTCGTGTGTAAACGGTCGTGTGCAATATTGTCAGGTCTACTCTCAACTTCGTCTTCTTGCTCCTTGGAGATCGGCCCCCACTTCACCGAACCTGCACCAAAGTTTAGATACTACTTAGCCATTTACACTTGCACAAGCACACATGGAGAACCAAGATTGAAAGCAGGTAAAACACAACAAGACAACAATCAGTCTTAAAGGATGGGGCCAAGGACCTATAAACTGGAAGTGGGTAGGAATGTGTTTGGTGACGGTCTTCCCTGGCGAACACTCCCAGTCACCATAAGCCAGACACCACTTGTTCCTCCAGGACTTCTGTGTCGAAGGCTTGTGACCAATAAAATAACCCCTCTCTTTTGCCATTCGGCAATTGTCTTGTACCCAACCAAAACTCCAATGTTACTTCGAAATCGAGTATAGGTACATGAATTGCTCAAATGTTGGCTCCCCCAACCCAATCAACCACCAGACAATGTAAACCCCATGCAGAAGAATCCAAAAGTTGGGATTATATTGCTTCGGCGCATACCCCAGCTTGGCTAACATCATCGGTACCTAAGGATGAAATGATAGTCTGAAGCCATGCTGGTACATATCCATAAAAATCATCATAGAGCCCTCCAAAGGGTATCTAACCACATCAGCTGCAGTGGGTAACCTCAAGCCCAAATAAGGTGGAACACTATAATCTATCCGAAGATTAGCCAACTTCACTTCTATAAGAGTATTCCACCTAGCCAAAGGGACACCAACTTGTATGTCCACTCCTTCTGAAGCTGAAGCCACGGCTACACCCACGGACCCTGACGGTGATGCCTGATTGCTCGAGCCCACCTCTGGTGTATGAGGCAAGGCTAGAACCCGATCAGCTATAGCCTCTAACACTTTCTAATTCCTCTGCATCTCCTTATATGCCTCTGAACCAAAGTCTACTGATGGCTCACCCCTCTCACCCTCATGCACTGCCATCCTACTTTCTCTAAGACCTTCTACTAGACCCTCTGTTCTGGGAACTCTCGTATTCAGAATAAACATATTCGCTGGGCTCCTCACTCTCAGTATCTTCCATACCAAAGCAAGGGGGTCATGACTTTCTCTACCAGAACTTTCAGACATCTACAATATGCAGAAACAAGGAAAATGAACTAATGCACATGCCAAAAGGATCTAAACATACATTCAACAATTCATATCAATGTTCAAGGTGTTCATCAAGTTCATACTCATATTCAAGGTGTTCATCCTAATCTTCAACATGTTCATACCAAAAAGGGCATTTCAATTCAAAAGTTCAAGGGAAATGAGGTCTAACCTTGTTTGCACCACCATGAATAAGATGTCGGAAATCACCCTTGGCCACAGCACCACAACGAGGTATCTCACCGGAAATCTCCTCCTCCCATTCTCACTTTCTAGAAATTTTTCTCAAGACTCAAGTATTTTCACCTTCGACACCCCAAGCTCTTATTTATAAAGCCCCAAGGGTACCAACGCCTTGGTTCATGAGAAAACCCTAGCACCCTTTCATCTTCCCTCTCAAATTCCTTGTACCTACACACAATTTGAAATTCAAAAAAAAATGGAGAAAGGAATTTGGGAAAGGACCTTGCCGAATGGCAAGGCCCGTGCAGAACCAATTAGGGGGTCACAAAAATTCTCACCTTGGCCATGCTTTGCTGACCCAGCTCCAAGAATTGTCACAAACCAAGCCTTGACAAACTTGTGATTGGGCTGCCCTCAAGAAAAACTACACCCTTGCCGAACGGCAAGGGCTATACGGAAGGGAAAGGAGGCTCACTTTAACCTCTTGCCGAAATGCCCAGACCTAAGGACCAAGTTCCTTGCCGAATGTGGAGCGGTCTTGGAACCTGCCGAAGGAATATGCAACCACAATGACAAAATCATCAAACCGAATCTACAAAAGCAAAAACCCCAACGGATTTGGCAAGGGCCCAGCTCACGCACACACCCGTTTGGCGACGCCGACTGCACCATGAGCACGAAACTCTGTAATTGCTCATACCGAACAGCAGGATCCGGCTAAATCTAATAAGTGACACCCACAAAGGAACCCAACACCTTTCTCTCATGGGCTCAACTTCTCTCGAACTCCTCTGCTCTAAATTCTCGCCAAATCTTCAGACCCTACAAAAGATTAACAAAAACCACCTCACAGTTTATTCACACAGGCCTTGCCGAACGGCAAGGCCCATGGAGAAGAATGAAGGGCCACGAAACATTAAAGGCATATTACCTGTCCTCTTGATGAACAACAACACCAAAGGCGAGCTTGGGGACACCTTAGCCGACGCCGTATGCACTCACGGTTCTCTCCCGATGATCTCTAACGCCACAGCAGAGGACTCCAAATTCCCTAACGCCAAAAGCTATGCAGACCTGAAAAGAGACTCCGAAAACCAGCAACTCTGGACCCTCACCAAAGGCCCAAAAGCCCAGCCCCTTGAGGCTCACGACAAATACACAGCTCAATAAAAATCCCTGACTAAGGATCCCAACTGCAAACCCAGCTCCCAAATTACTCGGGTTATGCAGAAAATAAGAACGGTACCAGCCAGACTTGCCGAAGCCTCCTACGTTCTACGAAAAGACACGAACGAAATCTTCTAAATTTAGCTTACTGAACGGCAGTAGGCGTGAAGAAGGTTTCAGAACACTGAAGGGAGACAGACAGCCAAGTCTCACCGTCGCATCACTTCGGAACCATCCATGCCGAACGGCAAGAGGTCTCCACCGGTCATTCGATTTTCCCCCTCAGTCAAACCTTGCCGAGCGGCACCCTTCAAGCAAGATCCTCGCTAGTTGCTTTTGCCAAACACTCTTTGTTTGAGAAAACCCTAACCTAGGTCATCCTTGCCAAAGCCTTTTAACCATGGGCCATGCCACTTTGCCATCACTGAAGCCCAACTAAGGCTCAGCCCAAAACCAGGACCTAGGCCCCTCCGTGCACACCCCAAGTAACCAAATGTCATGCCCATGCATCAACCTGGCCTGCTTGCAGAACGGCAGACATTGGGCTGACACAAATAAAGACCCAAGAGATTCTTCTCCTTAAAAAAAATTTAAAAAAAGGGAACCCTACCGAACAGCAAGCACAGTTTAGAAGAAGAGGGGCTCACAAAATACTCTCCAAACGGCCCTTGCAGAATCTTCTTGAGCCAAGACCCGAGAGGCCCAAACCACAACCAAGACTTGCCGAAGCTTTTACGCAGCCTAGCCCAACAATTTTACTTAACCAAAGCCCTGGGCCCTTTGCCAAGGCTAAGGTCGCGCCCTAGGCTCGATGCCGAAGACCCAGCACCCTCTCGTAGGCTCTCTTCCGGAGACATACCTTCAAAGATGGCGCAACTTCTAGCTTGCCAACTTGGGGGACTAGGGAATGCCCTACGGTTCCCACTAAATCTAGAATGCTCGGTCATGATTACACAAAAATCTCACAAGTTCCCAACCCAGAAGTTACTTCTTGACCGCGAACTTGGGGGACTACTGTTTACACGATAATCAACCGAGCATATCCAGCATCAAAGCAACTAGCACCAAAGGCAGACACGCCTTCTTCCTTGTTGAAGGAAAACATCCTTCCGAGGTGCCAGACACCTGCCGAAGCTCCCAATTGCTGAACCTAATCTCCAAGACACGTGTCACCACCACAGTGACTTGCACAAAGTCCCACATCGAAACTTTGTGCAAAGCTCCCATTTTCACTTCCTTATAAATAAGGAACAGTGCCCAAGTAAAAAGGGTAACTTCTCTCTCACTTTTACTGTTACTCTGCCACTTTTACCACCCATAGCTGACATAAGCATCGGAGAGCCTTCGGCCGGCACCACACCGGTGAAAGAAGCTTAACGACTGCTTCTCCTACTTTGTCTTCTGCAGGCTCTTCCATTGCCGAAGGTCCTCACCTTCTCCCCTGCTAAAACTTCCCTCTAAGTTGACCTCCCAAAAAGAGCATCAACAGTAATAATAAAAATATTTCAATAAAATAAATCTTCCGAAACTTCTGGTTCAAATCAAAGGTAAATCAAAGAACTGTAGGTTTTAAAATATTTCAACTTTGGATCGTACTTTTTACCTTAAAGGTGTTAACAACACCGATATTGTCCCCAACTTACCACCTACAAAGCCTAGTAGGTGTGGGTTTTATCACAAAAGGCCTTAGTGATATTAGTAGTTGAACAATTCATTATATATTGTATTTTATTTAGTTAAGTTTTCAATGTGGGACTCATATTCTTCAACACACCCCCTCACGTGGGACCACCGCATAGTGGGACCACACGTGGAGCCAAGTCCACATCGAAGTCGATCATTCAAGCCCAACACATGAGCACTACGTATTGGGTAAAGGGTAGAGGTAAACATTCAAGCCCAACATGTGAACATTAGATATTGGGTAAGGGTAAAGGCCAAATTCAGGCCCAGTCAGTCAACCCGCTCTGATACCATGTTAAATTCAGAGAGACAGGCCAGTGCCCATTACTAACAACACCAATATTGTCCCAAACATAACTGTTGCGCCCCGAACCCGGGGTCAGTGAAAACCCTGCGCTCGGTGCGTGAGAAAATAAAAACTAAAATAAAATAAAAAGAAGCCGAAACATGGGTTTAAAATAAACTTCTCTTCTAAAAAATAGTTCTAAAATCTTACAACTTTACAAGAAATAAATAAAGCTCTATCACTCTCATCTAATTCAGCCTTAACTGGTTTTGTCCAAGTTAACTTGCTCAAAAAGATAAAAAGAGATTTTTTAGCTACTTAATAAACAAGATATGAATAACACAATTCTAATAATGAATATTATTATAAATATATACAATTATGTAAGTTAAATACCCAAGAAATGTCTAAGGGTACCCTTTAGAGAAAATCAAATAATAAATATATTTTGTAGTTATTCAAATAAACACATATATATATTTACTAAGTACGAATAATTATTAAAATAGTATTGTAAATATAAAACAGTACATATACATAAACGTTTAATCTTCTTTAAAAACTTTTAAGAATATGGATTTTCACAGTAACCACTAGGGGTGGGCAAGGATTGAAATATCGGCCGATACACCGATATATCTGCCGATATGTTGGTATTTTCAACTATCGACACCGTTATTGGGGGGTATGGCCATATCTTCCCCTGTATCAACGATATATCCCCGATAAGTGCGATATTCCCGATATTTTGCTGATATCCTCGATATTTTCCGATACCCATAACAGAACCAAAAAAAAATCAGAAGTTTTGAAGGCAATTGAAGCAAATTGAAACCCAAAAATGGCTAATCCTTGCCCAGAGCCCTATAATTTATTATTATGAAGAATCTATGCACAGTCTACTACCCACATACCTCCAATCCATCTAAAAAGGACATGGCGATCAGTTTTGGATCCATGAGCATAGGAACTAGACCTAGTACTAACTCAAATGAATCTTATGATGGCTATGGTTATGTCATGTATGATTATAGTGAAACTAGTTATGGAGCTCAAGATGATAAAAAAGATTATGGACCTACTAGTTAGTTAATCCTAACTATCCCATATATGGGAGGACAATAGGGAGCTCAAGAGAGACCTATGTGCACCACATTCAAACATGGCTTACAAACTGCTCGGGTTACATGACTTGGTATGACTATTGTATGAATCTAGATGGTTGTTCCTCATTATTTGAACCTCATAAGAGCTCTTCATTTATGTAGATGTACACTAATCTAAATTGTAATCCAATGTTTAAACAAACTATGGATTTATGCATGGTTTATTCATTCTAATTAACATTTTAATTTCAAACTTTTCATTAACGCACATTATATGCCACTTATATTTCATCATATGTATATATTATTATTAGTAAATTTTGAGTTTTATTTGTTCAATACATTCATTGATAATGTACATAACATCTATGAAAGTTTTACACTAAAATTATGTGTTTCAATGCCTATATATTTCATTTTGTTGATTTTTTCCCGATACCTAAAACGATAACGATATATCCCCCGAAATATCCGTAAATTGGAGGCCCGATATTATCTGCACGGCCAATACTTTAATCCTTGGGGGTGGGCACGGTATAAGATGACACGGGATGGAGGTCATCTCGGTGTCAATCCCGAATAGGAGAATCGATATGGGATGACACGGGATGAGAGTTTTTGAAAACACGTTCAAACCATACCGAACCTAATCGGGATCGGTATGATTCGGTATCAATGTTGATATCGTAAAAAATCTGCAAAGTTTCATAAATAAGTGTAATACAACAAAATAAACAATCAAGAATATAATTATTGAAGCTCTTATATAGCTGGGCACTGTTAACTTTTAGAGTTCTCATGAAATCTATCTTCCCACGCATGCTTGCATAAATTAGTGTTAAACAGAAACGTTTTCCCCTGTTCAACAATTAAATATCATCTAGTAGCCTTACCTTACCCAAGATCTTCTCAGTTTTCTTATTATTGACAGTCACACAAGAATAATACAAGCAAATCAATGATGTTGGAACCAAAATCAAAACAATTTCTCACATTGAAAACAAATAATTGCAAACCAAAAGAACTTTCCATATATTATGAGAATCTGAGATCGGAGTGAAATTGGTAGAAGAGGGAAACGGGTTTACAACGGCAATAAAACTTTCCATGTGGTAGTCTTATGCTAGTCTCTCACGTCATCTTCCAGTGTGGTTTTGCTATTGTCTTGTGTTGACTTATTTTTTGCTATTATCTTCCAGTGTGGCAGGTGATGGCATGGGATGCTTGGTATTTATTGCTATGTTTTGTTCCGGCCTGTATTTAAACGACTATGGTTCGTATAAAGTTAGGGTTATTATTTACATTTACTGTTCGATACGGTATGACACGAAACGGGATCACAAAGTTGAAACCGATGTCGTGCCAAACAGTAATGGGATGACACGGTATCATCCCGTTTACACGTCAACACCAAATGGTTTGGCACAAAATTGGCATGGTTTGGCACGGTTTCGGGATGGTTTCAGTATTCCGGTTTTGATGCCCACCCCTAGTAACCACCTACAAAGCCTAGTAGGTGTAGAGTTTTTTCACAAAATGCCTCAGTGATATTAGTATTGGAATCATTCATTTATCACAAAAGGCCTCGGTGATATCACAAAAGGCCTAGCTGTGGGACTCATATTCTTCAACAAATGACCATACATATGAATTACTCAAACAAAAGAAAAAATAATAAATACAACGATAAATGGAAAACAATAATTATAATACTTTAATAAAATAAATTGATTGAACTTCTAGTTCTAATTAGAAAAAAATATCAAAGAACTTCAATTCTTGATTTGCTTTTCAAAACTGCCGAACTCTATATCCTTATATATTATATGGAATGAACTTCGAGGTCTTCATTTGATTGTATACGAATTAAGGATCTTCATGCCCTTTTTAGATTGACAGATCCATGTGAATTGAGAATCTATATCTTCTGGTCATAATCTCTCTTTTTGTTTCTCTGAATAATAATACATCATTACATTTATAACTTCGAGTTCTAAAATTATCACAACTTAGAAACAACTAGTTATAAAATCAATGAATTATGAACTTCTAGTTCAAATTTGCAATTGAGTGATAAAATAAAATATAATGAAAAAAACCTACAATAGACTACTTATACCACCGTGTTGTAAGATGTTGTGCTCATACAGAATTTGAATGAATAAAAGGAACAACAAGCACCTCATAGTCCCCCTATTGTAACTTGGAATTTAGAAAGGCAGAAGAACTTCAACTAGTTAGAACTCATGCTTATAACCTCATATCACTAGTTAGAACTCTCCATTTCACTATATTTGGTATTCCTAGATACTCTTCAAAAGTACTTTTATGTGAGGGATATCAGAATGATTATTTTGTAATAAGTATTTAAGTTATGGACTGATTACATATTTCTAATTTCAACTGTTGAATTACATTCATTAGATGTGTTGGTAGATTTAGTATACAATATACATGCAATCCAACAGTCAAGATTAGAAATTCTATATATACTAAAGCCCAATGCAATCAGATACTATTCATAAGCACTGTTCCTTGAATAGTGGCTGTTTCACTATTACACTGTTACACAGCCTATATTTTCCTAACAGTACAGGCAATTGTCGATTTTGCCCTTTACTGAATTTTCCCTTATGTTCCCCTTTTGGCCTTTCCCATTTGCATCTCTTTCAATTCGAACGTTTCGTTCGCTCTCAGCTTTCCAGTCCGTTTGGAACGAGTTGGTTGGACTGGCTGGGGGCAGCCATGGAAGATCAGAGCTCACTGTTCTGCATGCGTGGGGGGCCGTCGATTTTCGTTTGGGGAGGCGCGCTGCAAATCCAGCCGCCCTTTTGGTTTTTATCTCATTAGTTCTCCTCTTAGATGTTGCGTTCGTGTGTTGCCGTTCCAGATGCGCTTCATCCTTCATCTCATCGCACGGGTTTAGCTCAAAGGATTTCTGGGTTTCGTAAAAAAAGGTTGGTTTTAACGTTCTTTTGGTTTTCTAAGTTGGTTTATTCATTTGTCATGTCAAAAGTTGGTTTTCTAAGTTGGTATTTGGGTATGCTGGTTATTTTGTAACAGGGTTTAGGATAGCTCTGTTTTGGTAAGCAGGATATGTTCGTTCTTTTATTAGAGGGTTTTAATTCAAATTCGTTCTTATACTGGTTTATGGGACTGGGGATTTGAATTTGATAATTTTTTTTTGGTAAGGGAAAGAAAATTTGGGAGTGTGATTCTAGGAACTGATTGCAATGTTTTAGCATAGTTGACTTGAAGAAGACTGGTTTGGGAAATATGTGGGATTTGAAAATCTAACTTCTAAATTGGAATTCTGTTTGTGGACATTAGTGATGACAAGAAAGAATTCAGAAAAGTTAGTTTTGTAATATTAAAAGTAAGGTGATGATTCAATTATTGTCTATGAAATAGTAATTAGAGATCAATGATAAACCTGTTGTTAAGTGATATAGTGTCTCTTACTTTGCAACTCTCACTGCAGGGATTGCAACGGTTCTGCTCAGAGCATAAGATTAAGTCATCAAAGGTATAAGATATCTGAGATCCTTACCCATTAGGTAGTTAAGACCAAAAGTGGGGCTCTATATATACGCCTGGTGGTTAGTGAGAGAGAGTGAGTGGTTTTAAAGGGTGTCAATGGCCTTTGAATTTTACTTATATAAGATTAAAGTTATGCGCTTTCAAGTATTTGTGATCTCTCTGTATCTGGGTTTTGAGCAAAATGACTTTATTGATAAAGCTTTGATTTGCAATGTATATTAATGGAGTAATAGAACTGCTGACTGATGCAGTTTTGCATGTCCTTGGTTAATGCATTTATGTTTGCTCTACACAGATAAAGAGAGAAGTTATGGATCTGATAAGGGTTTAGGGAATTTCTAATGGAATTTCTTTGATTACATATGTTCTTTCATTAGCCCACATCCTTTTCTTGTAACATGTCTTCATTTTTTTGCCATGGTGATTTTTACCAAAGTAGCCATGCAGCAATTTGCAGAGGCTAAATCACTGTCAAAGACTTGCTGCTCCAGTCTAAATCACTGGACTGGTGAGAGCAACAGCACAAGAACCGAGCTGCTAATTGAAAATCAATTAAGCAGAATAAGCAGCAAAAGCATAAAAAGATGGAAAACGTACAAAACATAATAAAGCAAATACGAAAGTCCAGGCATAAACAGAATAAAGCATCCTTCCTGAATTTTCACACACATGGATATGATATCCTTATTCAAATAGTTTCTTGCAGATCATTAACTCTATCTTGCGTATTGCTAGCTCATTCTTCTCTTCTTATTCTCAAATTGAGATAGGAGTCTCTAGCTGCCTTCAGTTTGTTGACAACAACATCCACTTGCCCCCGCTCAGTTGGTGATATTGCAGAGCATGAGAGTCCTATCTGCATCACTGAAACCAAACATTCCTCCAATCTTGTTGCTTGGATAGGGCTGCCATGCTGATAGCTTGTGGTTCGTCTTGTTCGTATTTCACTTTCGTATCTTTCTCCATCACCATGTGCATCATTTCTTTCAATGAGCAATGAAGGGTCAATTATGTCCATGACATGGTCAGGCATTGTGATGGCTGTGAATTGGTGAATGCTTAGACCATCTTTGAACATGTCATCTGTAGGTCTTTTTCCAGTGAACATTTCTAGCAACAGTATTCCAAAGCTATAAATATCTCCCAGAATGGAAACTTGGCCTCCCATGCCGTACTCTGTCATTCAATTCATGCATTATGATGTCACACTCAAATCATTTACAACTTACATCTCATTTCGATTATCTTTCTTTTGTTTTATTGGAAGAGACTTAATAAGTTGGCTTAGTCATAAACTTATTAGGTAGAGAGAGAGAGAATGATACCTGGAGGAATGTAGCCTATCGAACCCCTTAGCCCAGCTGACATGGTTTGACTTTGGGAGTAATTATCTGATGCTTCCAAGAGGAACCTTGCTAAACCAAAGTCACCAACATGGGCTACCATATCTTCACCAAGAAGAACATTGCTTGGCTTTAGATCACAATGAACAATGGTTGTTTCACAACTGTGGTGGAGATAATCTAATGCAGAAGCAACGTCAGTCGCAATATTGAGTCTTTGGATAAGGCTCAATCTCTTACTTTGTTGAGGTTGCTCATCATCTCTAGGATGCAGCCATGAGTCTAGACTTCCATTTGCCATGAACTCGAATACTAAACTCTTGAAGCCATTACCCTGATTATCAATGCTCGAGCATGCAGTAATGATCTTGAGAAGATTACGGTCCCGTATACTTCTTAAAGCTTTGCATTCGTCAATGAAACTCCTGAAAGCTCCTCGTTGTTGAAGATTTAATACCTTAACAGCAACTGCCCTCCCATCACTAGGAAGTACTCCTTTATAAACAGAACCAAAACTTCCGGAACCAATCAAATTGTCCACAGAGAAGCCGTTAGTTGACTCAACGAGTTCCAAGTAAGAGACTGATTTCCAGCCCTTATAAGAATCTGAAGTTACTAGGCCACCTCTTGACTTTTTCACCTTCGAACGAGCAACAATGAAGCATGACAGAGCAATTATGCATGCAACTGCATAAGCTACAAGGATGATTACCTTTGGGGCAAGTAGTCGATGAGATGATGAATTGGACTTTTTGATGGAGCATGCATGTAAAAGTAATTTTGGGAGACCACCACAGACCCTATTGTTTCCAATAATTGAGAGACCACTTGCATTTGAAAAGATCCCTTCTTTAGGCAATTCACCTTCAAAATCATTATAAGAAAGATTGAGATACTTAAGAAACCTGAGCTTTTCTAAAAGTTTAGGAATCTCCCCGGATAAGTTGTTGTGTGAAATATCCATTACTTCCAAGCTTCTTAAACCTTTAAGAGAGTCAGGAATTGTTCTTTCAAATTCATTACCTTGCATATACAGGCGCTCCAACATAATACAACCGCCTAGAGTTGTTGGGATTTCACCTGATAACTTATTTCCTGACACATCCAGCTCCACAAGATTCACCAATTCACCCACTTCAGATGGTAACGAACCAGTCAAAGAATTGTTAGAAATTCTCAAAGAAATTGAAAGGGATGAAATCGCAAAAAGCTCTCTAGGTATGGTGCCTGTTAGACGGTTATTAGAAACGTCAAGTGTGAGTAGACTTTGGCAGTTCCCAAGACTTGGAGGTATACTTCCCTCAAACCTATTCTCGTCCATGACTACCGTTATCAATGAAGTCAAGTTACCTAGGGAGGACGGTATCGGCCCAGAAAATTTGTTACGATCCATATGCAATTCCTGTAACTTTTGAAGCTTCCCAATGGCATCAGGGACACTACCACTGAAATAGTTGTTATTCATTGCAAGAAGGGCCAAGCTTGTAAGATTCCCAATGCCTTCAGGGATGCTTCCATGTATAAAATTTCCTGCCAAATAAAGATATTTTAGTTGGGTAGATAGGTCGGCTATGGACCTTGGCAATTCTCCTCCAAAATGGTTATGGTCCAGAAGCAAGTCCTCTAGGCCACTACAATTAGCCAAGAAGATGAGAAAATTCAAGTCACCAGCTTTCCCACTTCCCAGTCTATTGCCACCGAAGTTTATCCGAACTAAGCTACGCAACCTTCCAAGACTTTCAGCAGGGAGTGTCCCGGTCAAACCATTTGCAGAACAATCAAGCTCCTGAAGTCTAGAAGAATTTGACCACGACGCAGGAATAGCTCGTGTGAAGTTGTTCATACCACAGTCAAAAATTTCGAGATTGGGAAGACTAATGCCAACATTTGGTGGTAGCTCTCCATGCAGCTGGTTCCCAGCAACACCGAAAATTTTAAGGGAGTTTCACTAAAACACCCAAAATGGAGGTTGAAATTATAAAAAAAACCCAACACCCAAAACACTTTATAAACACACCCAAAACCCATCATTACACACACTCAAAACCCATTTATAAACACACCCAAAAAGTTGACTTTGGGGTTGATTTTGGGTGTGTTTCTATGTTTAAATAGTGCTTGGATTTTTTTATAAATACATGTCTAGGATTGGGTTTATTTATAAATTTGTAAAATTTTAATGGAAGAAATATTATAGATTGAAGAAGGGACAATACCAAACAGATTATTCAATGAAATGTCAAATTCCGCCAAGTGCGTCAGACGCCCGAGCTCATTTGGTATGCTTCCTCGAAAATTGTTTTTGGAAAGGTAAAGAGTATGCAGATAAGAGAAGTTTCCTATCCAATTTGGGATCGCTCCGGTGAGATTGTTAGCAGCAACAGATACATAATATAAATTCACCAATGAACTGACTTGGTTCGGAATGGATCCAATAAGCTCATTGAAAGATAAACGAAGCGCTCTTAGTTGTGCACAGTGAGATATGTTGCTTGGAATTTTGCCGCCAAAGGAATTTCGAGACAGGTTGAGAGATCGCAGGCTTCCAAGACGACCTATTTCTTGAGGAATTTCACCAGCAAAGCTGTTGTTCATCAGGTCGATTTTGGTAAGGTGAGAAAGATTTCCTATAGATTTTGGTAAGGAGCCTGCCAATTTTTGAGCTGTCAACGGTTGCATGTAACGCCAACCCAATTGCAGAAATGAAGGGAATCATTCCATGAGCTCATGACATGGAGAGGATCTTGAGTGATTCTTTTCTTCAAGTCCAGCAGCGCCAGACGATCAGTTTCATTTCAAAAAGTATTACAACTTGGTAGAGTTGCAGATTCCAGAGGCGTGTTCATGCATAAAAGAAGGAATCCATGAAGGAAGGTAAACAAAATCAGCCTACCATGAGGCTCCATCCTTTCGTAAATACAAAGCAAATCTGAAATCAAGTGTTTGTTTGTTTGTTTGTAAATTGTTCTAATTTTCTTTTTTCTTTTTCTTCCCTTTTTCTGTCAAAATAAGAATCCAAGTTTCGTTTACAGGAATTCAAAAGAAGGACCAAATGTAGTGTTGCAGGAAATTGAAGACCAAATCTTATCACACACATTTTTTTTAAAAGACAAAGGTGTGTTATTGGTGGAAAATTTTAGTGGAGGAATAAAAAACTCAAACAAGTTTGAAAGTGTGCATGGAAGAGAGAAATCTTATTCCAGAGAAAAATAAAATAAAAAGCTTCATTATGTTAGTGTTGGAAAAATTGTAGACAAACAATTTTGATTTGTGCATAAAAACAGAGGAAAACAAACAAACTTCGTTGGCAACTGTTGGAAAATTTTAGTGGGTGATAAAAAAGTTCAAAATATTCTAAAAGTGCGAATAATGGAGTAGATGAAGTCTTATCTCATCATTAAAAGGCTTAATTACTATTTTACCCCCCTAAAGCGAGCGCTCGGTCTCATTTTACTCTATGAAGTTGAAATTTTCTCACTTAACCCTCAGAATCTCTAAAATTTGATGAAATTTTCTCACTTGACCACTTCCATCAATTTCTATCTATAAAACCGTTAATTGAGCTGATGTGACATGTGCATTTTAGTAATTTTAGCTAATAAAAAATTTAAAACTCAAATTAAAATAAAAAAAACAAAACAAGTTGTTTTTTTTTGGGGTGCAAAACTATGCATCAGTTTGGTCTCTCTCATCACATTTCGTCAAAATATTCATAAAAATCAGTCATGTTATGGCATATTCATAAAAATCAGTCATGTTATGGCACACTATCATGTTGACCAAATTGATGTGTAGACAAAAATGAGGGATAATATTGATTGATTTAAGATTTTTAGAACTAAATGAGAACTTTCTTAGAGACCACTATCGTTTTGCATCAAAAGGGAAAATATCTATTAGAGAAAGAAAGCTCCACTATGTTAGTGTTGGAAAAATTATGGTGGATAAGACCAACGTTATGCAAAAGCTCCACTACTTTAGTGTTGGAAGAATTATGGTGGATAAGACCAATGTTATGAAAGCTTGCATAAAACGGAAGAAATCTTATCGGAGTAAGAAAAGCGTCAATATTGCTTTACGGCGCATTTGGATGAGGGAAATAAACTTGGGATTTTGACAAAACTCAGAATTTCTAAATTGACACGAACCAATTCCCGTGTTTAGATAAAAAAAAACATATAAATTTAGAAATTCCGCGTGCTAAAAAACATGGAATTTGGAGATCATAAATCCCAACTTTAAATTCTATCTAAAAGTTGTCATTTCTAAAATCCCAAGAGAGATTGAGTTTTTAAAAAAGATAACTTTACCAATAAAAGTTAAATTCCATGTTTTAAATCCGTCACCCAAACAAGAAACTTTACAAATTCTAGAGCATTAATTTCTGTCATTTTAAATTATGTCATTTAAGAAATCCCTTGTACTTTTAAATTTCCTAATCCAAACGCACTGTTAGTGTTAGGAAACAAATTAGTGGATGAATAAAAGTTTATAATAATTCTGGAATGGAGCTTCGATAGAGGGATTCCTCAAATAAGCTTATTTGAGAGACACCCTTGTAGAGTCCACTCCACATTGTATTTCACTATTCCAAACTGTCTATTTTTTAGATAATCATTCAAAGATCATCTCTACAAAAAATCACTTGAATCCAATATCATTTGAACATTCAATTGAGTAATAGAAATTTAGTACTTTCTTGAAGCACCGTGTTCGTTGATTTTGTAAGATACAATTGGATATCGACATGGTTTCCGATCTGTCTACTTTTTTGCTAGGATGATCTATTAATATTGACTTAAAAAATAGATGGTTTGGATTATTGAAAAAAAAAATTGTAGGGAACCCTAAAGGGTGTCCCTCAAATAAAATTATTTGAAGGATCCCTCAATAGCCGGGGGCATGTATATATATACAAAGAGATTTCATTGAGGGATTATTCATATAAGGTTATTTGAGCGACACCTTTGTATAGCCCACTCCGTATTGTATTTTACTAATCCAAACAGCCTATTTTGTATATATTCATCCAAAGATCATCTCTACAAAAAATCACTTGAATCCGATATCATTTGACCACTCAATTGAATTACTGAAATTTTAGTACTTTCTTAAAGCACTGTGTTCATTGATTTTGTAGGACACAATAGGATGTCGAAACAATTTTTGATTTGTCTAGTTTTTTGCAAGGATGATCTTTGAATGTAGACTTAAAAAATAGATGTTTGGATCGTTTTAAAAAAAATTGTAGGGGACCCTAAAGGGTGATATTTATTTGAGAAATTCCTCAATAGACGGGGGCTATATATATATAAGTTCCCAAATTTTTTTAGTGGATGAACAAAAAATTCAACATTGTATTCAACACTATATATTCTCAAAGCATGCATATTGTAATTTGTAATCTATGTATTTTAAAGAAAAAAAATTCAACATTGCTTTTGCGGATTTAAGTCAAACAATTGGGAAAGAGTTTACACATCCAGCTTTGCGTACACTAACTCTCAAATTTGGTCTAGTGTTATTTGTCTTCAGTTGGTTAGAGAATGTCTCAGGTCCAACCCACATGGATGACGATATATATTTGTGATGAGTTTGATGTCTAGTTGTGGTGTAGTTTTATTATCGGTGTGTTGGCTTTTTATATAAGTATCTTGTAAATATATTCCTATAGTTTGTCAAGAAAACAAATTTGAAATAAAGTTAATGAATCAGTAGATAGTCTCTGGTGTCCTCCATGTGTGGTGGATCCGGATGCATATGTAATGCTTCTAGCCTAATCAGCCATTAAAAATAAGCATAAATGCAAAAATGGTCCATGTGTTTTACTACGTTGGCAAATTTAGTCCTTACATTTTTCATTTAGCCAATTTGATCCCTGTGTTTCGGACCATTAGCCAATGTTGTCCATTCCCTTAAAATTCATGTTAATCAAAAACTATTTCAATTAATAAAAAAATAACTATTTGAATACAATTTAAAAAATAAATAGATAAGAGCTAATTATAAAATAAAAACCCCGAAAACTTAAAAATTTAATAAATGAAAGACACCTCCTTCCAATTATCCCATCCGCCACCACATATCTGTCTTATTTCTCCCCAAGAACAACCCAATATTGGATTCGAAGGCACACCCAACATTACCCCATCCCAGTCGCTCCCCTAGATCTTCCACCTGATCTTCGCCTCCATCTTTGCCCACCCAGTCATTGCCCCACTCCCCCTCTCCATCTCTCCTGCTTCAGATGTGCCCCTCCTCTCATCACCCTCCTAATTGAAGGAAATATTGTGTTTTTCCATAGAAACAAGGTTCATTTAGACATATAATTTATCAAAAATTCATTTGATAGGCAACATAAGACTTTAAAAAAAATCCTAGTACCTAAAAACAAAACCTTTCAAAGGATCTTGAGGTTCAAAGGGTTGATGTGCTACATAAACTACTTTACAAGCTAGAAACTCACCCTTGGGGCGCAACTTGAGTCCAACCCAAGCATTCCACCAAGTGATGGTGGTGGGATCCACTTTCTTCATCTTCTCCAAGTCATAAAGTAGTCACATCCAAAGACTCCACACCAAGCTCTTATCTTTGGAAGGATGATGACTCACAAGAGGAGTTAATGGTGCTAGCAACACCCCTCTTGGGACCGATTTTAGCTTGCCTAAGAAAGGGAGATATTTTATGTTTTCCCTCGCTTCCTTCTTGCCTTTGCAAGACTTAGAACTAGGGGTGGGCATCGGGACTGGAAAACCGGAATTTCAAACTAGATCGGATGAAAAAAAATCGAAAACAAATTGGTTGACCAAAAAAGTCATCAAATTGGGACTGGACTGGACTAGACTGGTTCTAACCGATTCCAGTTCCAATTTCACACCGCACCAAACCGGACCAAATAGAACCTGACTAGTTGTGTATAAATTTTTTTTTATACAAAATCATTTAAATCCAATGCTACATTTTTAATTTTATAACTAATATTTTTCCAAGTCCAACTTCAAAACATCTTTCTTTGTATGAATTGGATCATTTATTAATTTTCAAGCCCAAAAAATAAATTTTTGTTAGAATTTGTATTTTTAAGAAAATAACTAAAATCGGACCAGTTAAATAATATCATTTCGGTCCGATTTGAGGTGAGAACCGGACCAAACTGGACCGTGCCCACTCCTTAAAACCCTAGGAAGAAAATGAGCTAAGAGGTGCATATATAGAGCACATGGGAGAACTATAAGATTCTCCCTCTCTTTCCATTTGGACAACACAAGGGGGTGGGCCACTTTGGGCCTCTTGCTCCAATTTGTCCCGCTCATCTCTTCCAAAGCCCCTTTTACTAAAACCCATGGGCTTTTAGTTTCTTAAACAATTTCAAGGCTCATTCTATTTCAACGTAATTAATTAACTGTAACATCCCGTCCCGACTAATTATTTTATTTTGTGAAGTTAGATTTTTGCCCTTGGGGGTAGGGGCTACTTTAGTCACTTTTTGTTTGGAATTAGTTTTGGGGGTTAGAGTTGCATCATTCCGTAGAGCTCTCTCTCATGAGTTCATAGACACGTGGTGGACTCAAATCGGAGTTTTAACGAGGAAGTTGTGATATACGAAAGTGCAATGGCACCATCGTAAATTTGGAGAAGTTAAAATTTAGAAACCCCAAAGTCAGACCCTCCCACGCCTGCCTATTACATTTCCCATGCTGGTTAGTCCATTTGGTAACTCCCATATAATTATTCCTTCCATTTCCCCAAAGAAAACTCTCTCAAACTCCCCCCACAGCCTTCCAAACCCGTTAGATGTATTGCATGCTTCAAAACCCCTTTCTCCTGAACTCAAAACGAAATATCTTATTCTTCAAACCAGTTCATCTGGTTGCAGTCAAAGAAACATAAACACCTCAAAACCCAGTTGGAGGATGAATAGCTCATCTCTGCCTAACACTCTGTGCTATGCACGGATTTGTCTTTGCATGCGAGTTTCTATTGCTTTTTTCACCTCTATTGTTGTTTTTGAGGTCGCTAGCTACAACATATTCAAATTTCAAGGCAATTAGAATGTCTATCTACCTGAAAACGTGTTCAAGATAAGACTAGTATTCTCTTACTTCCTGTCTGAAAGTTCCACACTAGTGTGAATTTATTCACTCTTGCATGTAGCCTTCCTTTGCTCTAATGGCATATGGCCCTTCATCAAATTGTATGTCTATGTCTTGGCTATAATCTTTCAAAGGTGGAGCTCCATCCAAGAAGTATAGCCATCTCAAGACATGTCTAAGTGTAATATGTTCATCCTTGTCTGATCTGTTGATGTAGGCTCGGATTCTGTCTTGCATGTCGATTTTCCAAAATTCCTAGTCATCCAGCAAGTTTAGCCCTGTCAGAAGTTGTACAAACTGAAACATGCTTCTTTGTTTCCAAATGTTGTTTTAGTGGTTGTTCTCCTTGGGAGGTGAATTGAGGATTTCAGACCAATTCAGAGGAGTGAGGTAAATATTTAAGATGCTCAATTTCTGGGAATCTACTTTAGAGGTTAAATTCTTAAGATTTTGTGGATTGTTGAATTGTTCCAAAGTTAAGTAGAATTGTGAACCTATAAGAATGTCCAAATCAAACCTGTGGGCTAACTTGGGGCAGCCCGTTGAGTTCTAAAATACTCTCCACATCGTCCCTAACATGATGGTATGCTCTGATTAGCATCTGATTACCATTTGACTATCGAACGGATATTGTGCCTATTAAGCGATATCCGGGTTTGATAGGGTCGGACCGTTCGATTTGTGCTATTTTCAATTATGTTACTCCCCGTACATCAAGGATCCTATAGGAACTTGTTGATCGAGAATCGGAGTCTTGAATACTCCAAACAAATTATTTAGGGTTAGGAGGACCGATCATCATCCGATCGTGCAATTGGCTTAGATCCAACCACTCAATCAAGACCAAACTTTTGGGACTTGTTTAGTAGATGTTGTTTGACCCCGTGAAAGTCATGCACATACTTTGAGTCTCGGGAATTAGGATTTTGGGTTAAAGCTCATGGTTGAATACTCTTAATGATTAAGTCTTCATGTTCTTCTAAATAGGTAGTCAGGCTCCATATACTCAACAGGCAGGGTCAAGAAGCTTTGGACTTTTTGTGAGTAGACGTTGTTTTTAAATGATCATTATTTTCAAATGATGGAATTACATGCATATATGGGTTTGATGGGGGAATTGATTATTTTGGTTACTGCGACTATGGAATTATTTTATTGTCTTAACTATGGTTTTACAATACTTATGAGAGCTTAGTACCTATATTTTATATAAAGAAATTGGATATTGAGTTTTGGGCTATGATGTTGTCGGATGTTTATATATATGGGTTTGGGTGCATTTGAATATTTGGGAAATTGAATATGGTATATTGGAGTTTGGATTGCACCATAATATGTACCTCCCCTTGGATATGTCGGAACCCAGGTACCCTTGGTGGGATGTGCCGTATGCCCTTGATGGGCAGTCTACGCACGTAAGACTTATTTCAGCAGCACGTGCAATGTGTTGCCGGGGTGTGTGCTGTGGAGCAATAGACCCCCAGTTGGGTGGCTCAACCCTAGTCACAGGGTAATGTGATGCTATCCTGTGGTCTAGCCAAAAAATCCCCTAGTTGGATTGTTTCCCTGATACTTAATAATGGTGTAGTGAGTATGTATGCGTGTATATATATTCACATGCATACATAAATACACACACACACATATTTTTATACTTATATATTTATAAGAATCCTTTCTTGCATATTGTATTTTTGCAAGCATATGTCTCGAAAAGGGGTTCGTTAAATGGAAAACGGTCCAGTTTGATTATTGTATTATATGCTATATCTGGTTTGTGGGATTACAATGATTTCAAATTCAAGTATACTTTAATAATGGATTTCATTGCATGGTTTTACATCATTTTTTATAAAATGGTGGGGGTTAATACATTCGATTATAACTATGTTCAAACTTTATTTTTGTCCACTCATAATTTTTGTTTTGCGCCTCCCAGGACGTAGCTTGACGTGACTCGCGCAACCAAACTAAGTCTCTCTCTTCCCATGCATCGACTTCCTTGTAGGATATCTTGTTGTTTATTTCTTTTCGAAAAATACTTGGGTTGTGTAAACTAAAGAGTATCTTAGATTACTATGAAATTGTCCATGTAGGATTGAATTTGGGGCTAAAGGCCTATGTCGTAAAATGTGTGGTTTAGCATTGTGTGTGCTGCCAGTTGAATTTTTTTAACTACTTCATTTGCAGTGTTTGTAGTCTCGGCCCATCTTCTTTGTTTCAGGGGAGAGGGTTATTTTAGCAAGTGGGCCCGGCATTGGTTAGATGTCAGACAAACAACAAGGTTCGTCACGGATTCCAAGGGAAAATCTGGGGCGAGTCCTGTCATTAACTCTTTAATTAATTTTTTTTTCCTTAACCAACTAATCTAATTAATTGACTTAATTGATTTCATCATCTTCCATTGTTAACCAAATTACAAACTTATGGGTGTGCGATCTAATAGGTTCTAATTAATGAGGCTGTGTACGATCTCGAATTCTTTCTTAATCGACTGTGAATTAAAATCCCCTTTTAATTCTCCCTTTCATGACGACTCAATTATGGAATGTCCTTAGGACTTCTACAAACCATGAGTGACATTTAGTAACATGTCATGACTACCCATGTTAATATAGAATATATTATGAGAACCCATTTAGTTGGAATTACAACACAATTTGATCCTTCTCTATTTCCTAATGTCCTTGATCTCATTAAGAGGATACAAAATTCATGTCAAATCCCTAATGTGATCGTTGTTGGCTATATGATTCAATATAGGCACAATTAGAAGACTCTTTCTTAATTTTGCTAGTATGTTTGTTTTCAATTATGTTATGACAGGACTCGACCCAAATTCCACTTTGGAATCTGTGCCAAACCCTGTACGTATCCGACACCTGGCAGGTGCCGGGCACTTTTGACCAAATTGCCCTTCTAACTAAAATTCAAAATTTCTTTAGTGCTTGACTTTTGCCAAAAATTCGGTAAAGTCTCCTTTATAAATTGCTCGTTTCCCAAACTTTTTCACCTGTACAACATACAATTCAAATATCCACAACTGTTTAGCATGCACAATGTTAGAATTCATGCAATCCAACATCCAAACTTTGTGGCCTCATGCCTTACAGAAAACCCTAGGGCAATTTTAGAGCATGCTAATTCAGTTAATTTACAAAAGTAGTATGGATGCATGAGAATATCCTACATAATGGAAAGGATAAGTGGTGGGTGATGATTGTCCTGTGGTGGTGCTCTGGTACACGACTACTGCCTGGGGCCGCAAAACATTAAAAGTGCGAGTGGACAAAAGAATGTTTTGGAAAATATAATATCAACATACTAACCCCACTATTAAAACATTTAGAAATTCAATTATAACCATGTTCTATATTCGTACAAAAATCAAGCATGCGTATCTAATACATATAATCGATCATGCATTCAGTCAAATCATCAAAACCAATTGAAAGCATTGAAAGGTGATAATTCCTTTCCACCTAGGTGTACCCATCATAAATCCGTCAATTCCATGATTTTCTATTTAATTCCCACATTATACCATCAATTCCTTATGTCACATAATGTGACACATCCTCGAAGGTCTAGGTAACACAAAGTCAACCCCAGCCGCATTCCTTGCAAGACTCAGGAGAAACTTGGTCAACCTGAGCTGCATTCCTCGCTCCTCACAATCTGGATATCCCTAAGACTCGTGGGACAACTTTCAAATGCGCCCTGACTCAATCGAAGGCAACTAGGATGTACGTGGACATCGTTATATCCGAAGGCAACATTTTCTTTTCTACTTTCGAAGCCATTCTCATTTAATCATAAACAGAATTTATAAAAGTATTTGAACTCAAACCTTATACATGGAAAGCGAAAGCCATACACAATTCCTTAACTCAATCATGAAAAATCCTTCAGAATCGTTCTCAAACTAAATTCGAATATGCATAAAATACTATTTAGAAAACTGGGAATCATAAATTATCAATTCCATAAGCAAAATGATTAATAACCACAGTTCAAGAATTTCTTAAAACTATTAAGAAAACAAATGTCAACTCACTAGGCATCCGAGCTAGCCTGACCCTTAGAGGGTCCTTTCATGCAGGTTCAACGAAGCCTGAGTACCTATTTAAGCAATTAAAATATTTAATAAAATAGCTCAACCGCAAGTATTTAAGCAAAACCCTGACCCCCGACCTTAAATGTGTGTGTACGTAACTTAAGAAAGTTCCTAGGCCCATTTCCAACAGTTCTAACAAGTGGAATGGTCTGAAAAGATTCGAGATAAAATAAAAGATTAAATTCCCATATTGGTCATTCCGGTCCCCCGTGGGGTCTACGACCTCCGATTGCTTATCTGAGAGTTCCTATAGGTTCAAGACAATTTACTACACATGCCCTACAAGTTTGGTCCGAATTGAACTATCGGATCGCTCGCGATCACACTATCGGACGGTTACTGTTTACCTAAACTTTGAATTATTAAATCGGAGTATTCAGGACTCCGATTCTTGATCCGTGAATTCCTACATTATCCTAGAGGTGCCTAGATCAACATATTTGAAAATGAAGTCGATCCAACAATCCCAAACATATTGAAACTGGATAACGCCTAATATGCGATATCAGTCAAACAGTAGCCAAAATGAAATCCAAGCATACTGTCGTGGTCGGGACGACACGATGATCATTTTAGGATCAAAAGGGCCACCCAACTCTTGCCCACACCCCACCACACTCGCTGGCAGCAAGTGGGTGTCTAGAGAAATTTCGGCGACCATAAAATCTCTGAACCATCAGTCAAGACCTATACCTACATATTCATAACAACAAGTGGAGCAAATTTTGTTCTTGGACCACGACCAAAAAGTGGCCGGAACTTGCCCGAAACTTGAGCTGAAAACCAGCTGAAATTTAAGCGATAAAACGAGTTCCAAAACGCAGAAAATCGATCTTAAACAACCCAACCATTAGCTAGAACACATTAAGAGGAATTGTCCGAAAATGACGACGAAATTTTATGACAAAATCAAAAATTTGTAGAGCTACCACTGGCGAAGGAGTGGCTGGGCTCGCGCGGGGAAGGATGGGTCAGAAAGAGGAAGTCGAGATGATTCTAACGGAGTAGGTCTCATGGCCAACTGTGGTCGGACGGAGGAGTTGCCGGCCAAAGAATGGTCGGGGCTGTGTTCGTGAGAGTGAGAGAAAGTGAGGTCGTGGGAGGGAGAGAGAAATGAAGGAGAAAAGAAAAAAAATATATGAGTTTTTTAAAAACAAAACTGACTTCAAAATATTTACGGTTGTGCCACTGCACTTTCATTGATCGTAACTTCTTCGTTATAACTCTGATTTGAGCCCACTACATGTCTATGAACTCGTTCCGACGTGCTCTATGCAACGGTATTACTCAAATTCCCAATTCCTTCCTAAAAAAAGTCAACTTTTAAACTCATTAAAATATTCCTAGGGTAAAATTATCTTTTACTTAAATAAATTAATAATCAAATATTAATTTAGGATCGGGTTATTACATGTTAAAACTTTGTTTTTGTCCACTTACAATTTTCTATTTTGTGTCTGATTGGAGCATATTTATGCGACTTTGCTATCTTATTTCTTCGCATTTACTTAGTTAATTCCCATTTATTAGAGTGATTTAGCTTATTTTCGTACTATTGTAGGTCCAAATGGTAAGATTGGCAAGAAAGGGCATTTTGGAGCATTTTAGAGCAGTTTTGGACTTGGAATGGATAGCATATGCATGGGCCAAGATGGATGGACGTTTTTGAAGTTCGAAGAGGCTAGGAATGTGCTAAAAAGATGGGGAAATTAATTCAAGAATCAGCTTCTAGGAAGTAAAAACCCTAACTGATTTTATTTTATTTTACCTTATCCTAATCCTATTCGACCTAAATTCCAGTGGGAAAAGGAGGGGATTAATTTCATATTAGGAAACCTAAAAATCCTAATTTCGTGGGTTTCTGTTGGGCCCTATAATTTCTAAAGAAATCTGCCAAACAAAACCCTAATTTTGTGGGTTTCTATTGGGCCCTATCCTTGTTCCTTAAGAAATCTGCCAAACAAAATCCTAATTTCGTGGGTTTCTGCTGGGCCCTTTTACCCTAGATCTACCACATATATAAAGGAGGGGTTGCCGCAGGAGAAGGGAGTTCTTTTGGTGCCGTAGCAAGAAAGGAGAAAGGGAGAAGAAGAACTTGGAGCCGGAACCTACTGCATCCATTGGGTTTTCAGAGTTCTTCCCTTGATTAGTTCAAATGTTTATTCTATATTGCTTTTCAATTATTATGAACATGTGTAACTGAATTTCTTCTTAGTTAGAGGTGAATTCGAAGCCATGAACATATGTTTTATATGAATTGATTACTCCCAGTTATGGTTTCGTAAAGTATGCATGTGATTTACTTTTCTGTTTTATTGAGAACTTATTCTTGTATGTTTATTAAGGATGCATACTTAGTTTGCATGTAGGGATTTGATGCTAGAATATAAGGGAATTTCACCTAATCGTTATGAACTTATATTCACAAGTAGTAAAAGTCACTAGTCATGATTGCGTTAAGTAAATTCCTGGCAGGAGTATCATGCTTTTCATAGTTACAAATACCTTGTCAAGGCTTATGATTTTCATAGAACTTAATAATCTTTGATATGTATCTCTATCATGCTGTTCATATAGGGAACTTGATAAGGATAATTTGATTGCGTCGCTGAGTCCAATTCAATGAACTTGGGAAAATCTGAAAGTTAATTAGTGCATTCACAATTAATTTGGGGCTTTGTCATTCATACTTTATAGAAAGAGTAACTGGAGATCGATTTGTGTGCATATGTTCCATGTGTGGAGAAGAATCCTCTAGCTATCCCTTAATCCATATTTCATTCACAACTTAGTTGTTTGCTGCTGTCAGTTTTACTTTAGTCTAAATCGTCCAAATACCCCCCAATCATTGTTCCCTTAACTTAGTTTCCAGTTTAATAAGTCTAATTTGTGTCGATTAGCATCCCTCCTAATCCCCGGAATAAAATGATCCCTACTTACTCGTACTACGATTTAGGGTTTAATTTGTGCATTTGTTATTTCTCACGCCAAATTTTGGCGCCGTTGCCGGGGATTAGCAAAATTGTAATCTTCCGTTTGTTTTCGTTTTTCTTGTGTTTCTGATTTTGTTTTGTTTTGTTTTCCTTATTTTAGGTACTAGTTTATGAATCGAAGTTCACACCCTGTTCGTGCGCACATATTGGACTTTGACGATGATTTTGAACGAACTTTGAGAAGGAAGAGGAAGCAGCAGAACTCAATCCCTCTAGTTCTAGTTCTGAACCTGAATCTGAAGCTGAAACAGACTTGGAAGAGGAACAAGACATGGCTGTAGACAATCGAACAATCAAGGAACTTTCAGCCTCTGGATTGGACACTGCAGTCCCTCTTTGCATTCAATACCCTAGGGCAGCTGACAGGTAAGACCGATGAGTTTGAATTGAAGTCGAGTTTGCTACATCACATTCCCAAATACCATGGGCTGTCCCATGGAAGATCCAAACAAGCATTTGAAGGAATTTGAAGTAGTATGTTCAAGTATGACACCCATTAACGTGGATGGGAATATTTTGAAGATGAAAGCCTTCCCATTCTCTCTTATGGACAAGGCTAAAGATTGGCTCTATGAACTAGCACCTGGAACCGTTACTTCTTGGGAAAGTATGAAGAAAGCATTCTTAGAGAAATTCTTCCCAACTTCAAGAGTCATTCTTTTGAGGAAGAAAATTAGTGGAATTCAACAAGGCCCGGGAGAATCCTTTCCAGGGTACTATGAGCGTTTTAAGACGTTAGTTGCATCCTGCCCACAACATCAAATGAAGGAAGAGCTTTTAATTCAATATTTCTATGAAGGACTACTTCCACTGGAGAGACAAATGCTTGATGCTTCAGCGGGAGGTGCTTTGGTTGACAAAACACCAGTTGCTGCGAAGATCTTAATAGCAAACCGAGCTTTGAATGCACAACAATACGAAGGAGTTGGAGGGAGAGATCATACACGGCCAAGTCCAGTTAATGAGGTAAGTGCTATTTCGGAACTTCAATCTCAAATGGCTAATCTCTCTACTCTTATTTCGCAGGTTGTTGAAGGATCCAAAGTGCAAAGTACAGCCACTTGTAGCGTGTGCTCTATGCATGGACACCCCACTGATCAATGTCCTCAATTAATAGAGAATGGGGGATGGGAAAGTGCCAATGCCGTAGGTTATCAAGGCCAAAATCAACCTAGGTATGACCCGTTTTCAAACACCTACAATCCGGGCTGGAGAGATCATCCAAATTTGAAGTGGAGGGAGCCTCAACAACAACAAGGCGGATATAGACAGCCACCTCCAGGGCTCTATCAAAGGCCGTTCGCACCACCACAACCTCAACCACAAATTGCCCAATCAAATTCAGGTTCGCCATTGGATAATGATCAAATGCTTAAAGTACTAACTTCTTTGACTCAGGGTTTACAAAATCAAGCCAAAGAGATGAGCGAAGTGAAGAAGCAAATTGGGCAGATGGCGGAGTTCATGGGACAGTTTAGAGAAGAAGGCAAACTACCTAGCTCAACCATTGTCAATCCAAAAGGAGGTTTTGAAACGGCTAAAGCTATCATCTTGAGGAGTGGTAAAGAGATTGGAACCAATCCCAAAATGTCCAAACAAAGCCCAAAAGAGAACGAAAAGCTGCTGCTCAAAGAGAAGGAGGTGGACAAAGCCACGGCAAGGGAGGAACAACCCTTGCTGCAGTCCCCCAAAGCTCCTACACAACCAAACTCAGGTAAGGTTGTTCCAAATTCAACTCATTCTAACCCTATCCCACCAAATGTGCCTTTCCCTCGCAGGTTTATGCAATCTAAGAAAGAAGAGAATGAAAAAGACATCTTAGAGACTTTCAGGAAGGTACAAGTTAATATCCCACTTCTTGACGCAATAAAGCAAGTTCCAAGGTATGCTAAATTCTTGAAAGAGCTTTGTACAACAAGGAGGAGGATTTCAAACAAAGAAGTGGTAAGGGTAAGTGAGAATGTTTCCGCAGTTTTGCAACGAAAACTGCCACCTAAATGCAAAGATCCAGGTAGTTTCACAATCCCTTGTGTTATTGGTAACACCAAGTTTGAACATGCCATGTTAGATTTAGGTGCTTCCATTAATGTCATGCCATACTCTATTTATGCATCTATGAACTTAGGAGAGCTTAAAAATGATGGCGTTATAATTCAATTAGCCGATCGTTCTAATGCATATCCGAAAGGAGTTTTGGAAGATGTTTTGGTGCAGGTTAACCACTTGATATTTCCAGCAGATTTTTATGTGCTTGAGATGGAGGATTCGGCCCATTCTACACCATTGCCAATCTTACTTGGACGACCTTTCATGAAAACAGCCCGAACCAAGATCGATGTGTTCAAGGGGACGTTGACAATGGAATTTGATGGCAATATCATTGATTTCAATATTTCTGAAGCTATAAGGTACCCTATTGATGATCACTCCTGTTTCTCTATTGATGCATTTGATTCTTTGGCGCAGGAATATCTCGAATCCCTAGATAGGGATGTCCTTGAAACCACCATTGTTCAAGGAATTGAACTCATCAAAAATGGGGCCGAACCTAATCATGAAGAAATTGGCGAGATGGTGGCTGCCCTTGAGTCACTGCCACAATATGTTGGTAAGTCTCCAATCCCAATCCCAATTCCCGTTTCTACTAACAAGTTGTTACCTTCGGTGATTCAGGCACCCACTCTCGAGCTTAAACCGTTACCGAATCATTTGAAGTATGTCTTCTTGGGAGATAAAGAGACTTTGCCCGTCATAATCTCTTCATCACTCACGGCAGTGGAGGAGGAAAAACTAGTTCGGGTGTTGCAAGAGTACAAAACAGCTATTGGATGGACTTTAGCCGACATCAAGGGACTTAGTCCTACAACATGCATGCATCGCATACTTCTAGAGGAGGGGGCTAAACCAACTCGAGAGGCTCAACGCCGACTCAACCCTCCAATGATGGAAGTTGTGAAAAAGGAGATCATTAAGCTTCTTGATTGTGGGGTCATTTATCCAATTTCGGATAGTCGATGGGTTTCACCGGTTCAAGTTGTACCAAAGAAATCAGGAGTCACTGTGGTAAAAAATGAAGAGAATGAACTTGTCCCCACTCGTATCCAAACAGGTTGGAGAGTTTGCATTGATTATAGGAAGCTCAACGCCACCACAAGGAAAGATCACTTCCCTTTGCCGTTCATTGATCAAATGCTTGAAAGGTTAGCTGGTCATTCTTTTTATTGCTTTCTTGATGGCTATTCGGGATATAATCAGATTGTTATAGCCCCAGATGACCAAGAAAAGACTACTTTTACTTGTCCGTTTGGTACTTTTGCTTATCGACGAATGCCATTTGGTTTATGTAATGCACCAGCCACCTTTCAAAGATGCATGGTAAGTATCTTTTCCGATTTCGTTGAGAAGATTATTGAGGTTTTCATGGATGATTTTCAGTGTCTTTGGTGACTCTTTTGATGGCTGTTTAACTAATCTCACGTTGATATTAAAACGTTGCATTGAAACCAACCTTGTTTTAAATTGGGAAAAATGTCACTTCATGGTAAAACAAGGCATAGTTTTAGGACATATAGTTTCAGAAAAGGGAATTGAAGTTGATAAATCAAAAATAGGTCTTGTACGCCACTTACCCTCTCCCACTTCGGTGAGAGAGGTTCGTTCTTTCCTTGGACATGCAGGATTCTATAGACGTTTTATCAAAGATTTCTCGAAGATTTCAACACCCTTGTGCCGACTTCTACAAAAGGATGTGCCGTTTGTGTTTGATGACAAATGTGAGAAGGCGTTCAATCACCTCAAAGAATTGTTAACTTCGGCACCTATCATTGTTCCACCAGATTGGAGCCTTCCGTTTGAGCTTATGTGTGATGCTTCAGATTATGCTTTAGGGGCTGTTTTGGGACAACGGAAAGACAAGAAGCCACACGTCATCTACTACGCATCCCGAACCTTGAATGATGCTCAATTGAATTACTCCACCACTGAAAAAGAACTTCTTGCTGTTGTGTTTGCTTTAGATAAGTTTCGTTCTTATTTACTTGGTACTAAAGGGGAAAAAAAAAAAAAAAAAAAAAAAAAAAAAAAAAAAAAAAAAAAAAAAAAAAAAAAAAAAAAAAAAAAAAAAAAAAAAAAAAAAAAAAAAAAAAAAAAAAAAAAAAAAAAAAAAAAAAAAAAAAAAAAAAAAAAAAAAAAAAAAAAAAAAAAAAAAAAAAAAAAAAAAAAAAAAAAAAAAAAAAAAAAAAAAAAAAAAAAAAAAAAAAAAAAAAAAAAAAAAAAAAAAAAAAAAAAAAAAAAAAAAAAAAAAAAAAAAAAAAAAAAAAAAAAAAAAAAAAAAAAAAAAAAAAAAAAAAAAAAAAAAAAAAAAAAAAAAAAAAAAAAAAAAAAAAAAAAAAAAAAAAAAAAAAAAAAAAAAAAAAAAAAAAAAAAAAAAAAAAAAAAAAAAGTGAATAGGTAGCGCCTACCAAGCAAAGTTTTCTTGAGAGGCTGGGCTAGTTCCTTTTCGGCGCCCGCCTTTATTCATCTATACCAGCTGCCACGCACGACCCAGTATGAACGATTTCAGCGCCTCTCTCTAGATAAGAAGCAGAATACACCACCACCTACAGCCCTTTCCTCTACCGGGGACTTCCACGAAATGAAAATGGGCGGCATCATCGTATGCTCGACATTTGTTGCCCGGGGTTATCTCCCGGAGTACTCCTATGGCCGATCTGGCGATCTGTCACCCAACCTACTTAAACAACCTCAAAGGCTTGACCCAAGTGACACCGTTGCAATTCTCATCTATTCCGCTGCAATTCACCTACCTATCTGCCATGGCTGATTGTCCGTCCCTGTTTCTCAAGTACCACTGATCATATGGCTTCATCGACCCCTTCTCTTCAGGGGGAGAGGGGGAGTGAAGAGAAGTTGTCTCTGCTGTTGATGTTGCTAGTGTTGTTGCTCATGCCTATTATGTCTCTTGCTGAGGATTGCTCATGCCTTGCCTTGTTGCTCTTGCTGGTGCTAGTGCCTTGTATTGCTCTTGCTGGTGCTAGTGCCTTGTATTGCTCTTGCTGGTACCAGTATTATTGCAGCTGCCTTTTATGGTGCCAGTATTGTTGCTCATGCCTTTGCTGGTGTGTTTCCCCTATGTCTCTTGCTAGGGACAATGTTATTGCTCTTGCTGGTGCTAGTGCTTTGTATTGCTCTTGTTGGTACCAGTATTATTGTTGTTGCCTGTTATGGTGCTAGTATTGTTGCTCATGCCTTTGCTGGTGTGTTTCCCCTGTGGTCACACCCATTGACCTTGCCTTTGTTCTTAACTTTCTTTGCCTTGCCTTACCCTATTTTTTGGGGTTTGGCTTTACCTTGCCATACCTTACCATGCTTTGCCTTACCCTATTCATCGGCAGATTTCCATTTGCCAAGTAGTCAATGATGGTGCCTTGCCCGCTAGGGTCCTCATCAATTCGCATTGAGTCTACTTGCTCTATTTCTTCAATGCTTGGCTGGTAGTGGTGTTTGATCAGGATGGAGCATTTGAACTGGGTGTCCAGCGCTAATCCTAGGCTTGCCAGTGCATCTGCATGAGTGTTCTTTGCCCGAGGAATTTGTTGGATGGTGAAAGTGGGGAATTCCTTCAAAAGTTCTTGGACATTGTCGAGATACTTAACCATTCTCGGATGTTTTGCCATGTACTCTCCTGAAGCTTGATTTGTAATCAATTGGGAGTTTGAGTAGATGGCCAATTTCTTGATCAATAGTTCTTTTGCTAGGCGCAATTTGGCGAGCAATGGCTCATATTCTACTTCATTGTTTGAAGTTGGAAGGCCTAGTGTGATGGCCTGCTCCAACAAAGTTCCATTTGGGGTGATTACGACAACTCCTGCTCCAGCTCGATTATGATTTGATGCTTCGTCTACGCATAATTGCCACATGTTTTTGGGCAGGTCCAGATCTGCGAATGAGGTATCGTCTACTTTCAAATTTTCCTTGTTTTTTATGACCAGCTTCTCTTCTTCAGATGTTGGAGTAAACTCTATAACAAAATCAGCTAAAACTTGGGCTTTTATAGCAGTCTTCGACCGATAGAAGAGGTTGTACTGACTGAGTTCAATAGCCCATTTCATGAGCCGCTGAGAAGCGTCGGGGCTGTGAAGGATCGATCAAAAAGAAAATTATGTTATGGTGATTATTTGGTGAGCTTAGTAGTAGGGTGTTTACTTTCTTTCATCGAGGAGTGCTTTTGACGTGTAGAATACCAGATGTTGTGCCCCCAACTTATCTTGGATGAGAGTTGAGTTGACTGCTGAGTTGGACATTGCCATGTAGATAAGCAAATTTTTGCATGGTACTAGTTTTGAGAGCAAGGAAGGTGAAATGAGGTAGGTTTTTAAGTTTTAAAAAGCAACTTCGCACTCGTCGTCCAATTTGTCTTTTTGTCATTTTTTCAAGGCTTTGAAGAATGGCCTACACTTGTTAGTAGACTTTGTATCTTCTTTTGTGGTAGGCGATTTCATGTTGAATATTGTCTTGATTTGTTTTGAATATGCCCCGATGCCTCTTTGGGTGACTAGGTATCCCAAAAATTGGCTAGATGAGACTCCAAATGTGCACTTGTTCGATTCAACTTCATGTAATTCTTTTAGAGCAAGCTGATTGCTTTGACAAGATTTTTGATGTGGTCTGCTCATCAGGGAGCTTTGACTAGCATGTCGTTTATGTAGACCTTCATAGCCTTTGATAGGTTGCTCCAGCGTTCTTCAACCTAAAGAGCATGACTTTGCCGCAATATGTACCTCTTTCAATGATGAAAGAGGTCCTTGTTTTGTTGTCTCATGCACCATGATTTGATTGTAGTCGAAGTAAGGGTCCATGAAGCTTAGCAAATGCTACAAGTTGAATCTACGAGATGATCAATTCTGGGTAACGGAAAGTGGTCATTAGGGAATGCCTTATTGAGGTCGGTGTAGTCGACGCAAACTCTTCACAATATCCGACACAACCCTTTAACCCGTAAAAAAGAAAAAAAAACAACAAAACCTATCACAGCTTCTCTACCCAACCAGCCAAACACCTTCTCTATCTTTTTTCCCCCAAATCCCAACCCTAAATCTTTAAGTTAAATAATGTACAGTGGAAGCGGTGTATACGGCAAATCTATCTGAAAACATGCTATTTCATTTTCTTATGTGTTCCAATACACCATTTCTTGTCTTGGTTAATAAACAAAAACATATATAATAGGAAGTGAAAACGAAAGGGTTATAATAGGAACCTACCATATTTCTTGTCTTTGTCTAGTCTTTACAACTGATGTTGGATTTAGTAAGGCTGACTGCGTTATGAAGAGAATAGCCCCAACAATATGAAAGCTAGAGAGAAGAAGAGCATAAGAGAAGAATAAGAGGAAGAAGGAAAAGGAAAAGGAGAAAGGAGAAAAAGACAAAAAGGAAAGAAGAAAAAGACACGGGAAAAAAGAAAGAAAAGGGGAAGAAGAAAAGAAAAAAAAATTATCTTGTAAAATTACAAAATTAACCTCCTTAACGGGTGGCTAACGGGTTAACCCGTTTTTGACCCGACACGACCCGTTAGCTTAACGGGTGGCTAACAGGTTCACCCGTTTTCAACCCGACCCAATAAGCTCAACCCAAATACTGATAATTTCTTGCGAATTCGTGTCGTGTGTAAACGGTCGTGTGCAATATTGTCAGGTCTACTCTCAACTTCGTCTTCTTGCTCCTTGGAGATCGGCCCCCACTTCACCGAACCTGCACCAAAGTTTAGATACTACTTAGCCATTTACACTTGCACAAGCACACATGGAGAACCAAAATTGAAAGCAGGTAAAACACAACAAAACAACAATCAGTCTTAAAGGATGGGGCCAAGGACCTATAAACTGGAAGTGGGTAGGAATGTGTTTGGTGACGGTCTTCCCTGGCAAACACTCCCAGTCACCATAAGCCAGACACCACCTGTTCCTCCAGGACTTCTGTGTCGAAGGCTTGTGACCAATAAAATAACCTCTCTCTTTTGCCATTCGGCAATTGTCTTGTACCCAACCAAAACTCCAATGTTGCTTCGAAATCGAGTATAGGTACATGAACTGCTCAAATGTTGGCTCCCCCAACCCAATCAACCACCAGGCAATGTAAACCCCATGCAGAAGAATCCAAAAGTTGGGATTATATTGCTCCGGCGCATACCCCAGCTTGGCTAACATCATCGGTACCTAAGGATGAAATGATAGTCTGAAGCCATGCTGGTACATATTCGTCAAAATCATCATAGAGCCCTCCAAAGGGTATCTAACCACATCAGTTGCAGTGGGTAACCTCAAGCCCACATAGGGTGGAACACTATAATCTATTCGAAGATTGGCCAACTTCACTTCTATAAGAGTATTCCGCCTAGCCAAAGGGACACCAACTTGTATGTCCACTCCTTCTGAAGCTGAAGCCACGACTACACCCACGGACCCTGACGGTGATGCCTGATTGCTCGAGCCCACCTCTGGTGTATGAGGCAAGGCTAGAACCCAATCAGCTATAGCCTCTAACACTTTCTAATTCCTCTGCATCTCCTTATATGCCTCTGAACCAAAGTCTACTGATGGCTCACCCCTCTCACCCTCATGCACTACCATCCTACTTTCTATAAGACCTTCTACTAGACCCTCTGTCTGGGAACTCTCATATTCAGAACAAACATATTTGCTGGGCTCCTCACTCTCAGTATCTTCCATACCAAAGCAAGGGGGTCATGACTTTCTCTACCAGAACTTTCAGACATCTACAATATGCAGAAACAAGGAAAAGGAACTAATGCACATGCCAGAAGGATCTAAACATACATTCAACAAGTTCATATCAATGTTCAAGGTGTTCATCAAGTTCATACTCATATTCAAGGTGTTCATCCTAATCTTCAACATGTTCATACCAAAAAGGGCATTTCAATTCAAAAGTTCAAGGGAAATGAGGTCTAACCTTGTTTGCACCACCATGAATAAGATGCCGGAAATCACCCTGGCCACAGCACCACCACGAGATATCTCACCGGAAATCTCCTCCTCCCCTTCTCACTTTCTAGAAAATTTTCTCAAGACTTAAGTATTTTCACCTTCGACACCCCAAGCTCTTATTTATAAAGCCCCAAGGGTACCCATGCCTCGGTTCACAAGAAAACCCTAGCACCCTTTCATCTTCCCTCTCAAATTCCTTGTACACTACACAATTTAATTTAAAAAAAAAAAAAAAAAAAAAAAGAGAAAGGAATTTGGGAAAGGACCTTGCCGAATGGCAAGGCCCGTGCAGAACCAATTAGGGGATCACAAAAATTCTCACCTTGGCCATGCTTTGCTAACCCAGCTCCAAGAATTGTCACAAACCAAGCCTTGACAAACTTGTGATTGGGCTGCCCTCAAGAAAAACTACACCCTTGCCGAACGGCAAGGGCTGTACGGAAGGGAAAGGAGGCTCACTTCAACCTCTTGCCGAAATGCCCAGACCTAAGGACCAAGTTCCTTGCCGAATGTGGAGCGGTCTTGGAACCTGCCGAAGGAATATGCAACCACAATGACAAAATCATCAAACCGAATCTACAAAAGCAGAAACCCCAGCGGATCTGGCAAGGGCCCAGCTCACGCACACACCCGTTTGGCGACGCCGACTGCACCATGAGCACGAAACTCTGTAATTGCTCATACCGAACGGCAAGATCCGTCTAAATCTAATAAGTGACACCCACAAAGGAACCCAACACCTTTCTCTCTTGGGCTCAACTTCTCTCGAACTCCTCCGCTCTAAATTCTCGCCAAATCTTCAGACCCTGCAAAAGATTAACAAAAACCACCTCACAGTTTATTCACACAGGCCTTGCCGAACGGCAAGGCCCATGAAGAAGAATGAAGGGCCACGAAACATTAAAGGCATATTACCTGTCCTCTTGATGAACAACAACACCAAAGGCGAGCTTGGGGACACCTCAGCCGACGCCGTATGCACTCACGGTTCTCCCCCGATGATCTCTAACGCCACAGCAGAGGACTCCAAATTCCCTAACGCCAAAAGCTGTGCAGACCTGAAAAGAGACTCCGAAAACCAGCAACTCTGGACCCTCACCAAAGGCCCAAAAGCCCAGCCCCTGGTTTGCCAAGACCAACAAAATTCAAAAACCTCCCTTGTCGAAGATGGAAGACCTTGCCCTTGCCGAACGGCAAGGGCTGTTCAAAAATTGATTAGAGGCTCACGACAAATACACAGCTCAATAAAAATCCCTGACTAAGGATCCCAACTGCAAACCCAGCTCCCAAATTACTCGGGTTATGCATAAAATAAGAACGGTACCAGCCAAACTTGCCAAAGCCTCCTACGTTCTACGAAAAGACACGAACAAAATCTTCTAAATTTAGCTTACCAAACGGCAGTAGGCGTGAAGAAGGTTTCGGAACACTGAAGGGAGACAGACAGCCAAGTCTCACCGTCGCATCACTTCGGAACCATCCATGCCGAACGGCAAGAGGTCTCCACTGTCATTCGATTTTTCCCCTCAGTCAAACCTTGCCGAGCGGCACCCTTCAAGCAAGATCCTCGCTAGTTGCTTTTGCCAAACACTCTTTGTTTGAGAAAACCCTAACCAAGGTCATCCTTGCCAAAGCCTTTTAACCCTGGGCCATGCCACTTTGCCATCACCGAAGCCCAACTAAGGCTCAGCCCAAAACCAGGACCTAGGCCCCTCCGTGCACACCCCAAGTAACCAAATGTCATGCCCATGCGTCAACCTGGCCTGCTTGCAGAACGGCAGACATTGGGCTAACACAAATAAAGACCCAAGAGATTCTTCTCCTTAAAAAAAATTTAAAAAAAATTAAAAAAAAGGGAAACCTGCCGAACGGCAAGCACAGTTTAGAAGAAGAGGGGCTCACAAAATACTCTCCAAACGGCCCTTGCCGAATCTTCTTGAGCCAAGACCCGAGAGGCCCAAACCACAACCAAGACTTGCCGAAGCTTTTACGCAGCCTAGCCCAACAATTTTACTTAACCAAAGCCCTAGGCCCTTTGCCAAGGCTAAGGTCGCGCCCTAGGCTCGATGCCGAAGACCCAGCACCCTCTCGTAGGCTCTCTTCCGGAGACATACCTTCAAAGATGGCGCAACTTCTAGCTTGCCAACTTGGGGGACTAGGGAATGCCCTACGGTTCCCACTAAATCTAGAATGCTCGGTCATGATTACACAAAAATCTCACAAGTTCCCAACCCAGAAGTTACTTCTTGACCGCGAACTTGGGGGACTACTGTTTACACAATAATCAACCGAGCATATCCAGCATCAAAGCAACTAGCACCAAAGGCAGACACGCCTTCTTCCTTGTTGAAGGAAAACATCCTTCCGAGGTGCCAGACACCTGCCGAAGCTCCCAATTGCTGAACCTAATCTCCAAGACACGTGTCACCACCACAGTGACTTGCACAAAGTCCCACATCGAAACTTTGTGCAAAGCTCCCATTTTCACTTCCCTATAAATAAGGAACAGTGCCCAAGTAAAAAGGGTAACTTCTCTCTCACTTTTATTGTTACTCTGCCACTTTTACCACCCATAGCTGACATAAGCATCGGAGAGCCTTCGGCCGGCACCACACCGGTGAAAGAAGCTTAATGACTGCTTCTCCTACTTTGGCTTCTGCAGGCTCTTCCATTGCCGAAGGTCCTCACCTTCTCCCCTGCTAAAGACTATCCACTTCCCTCTAAGTTGACCTCCCAAAAAGAGCATCAACAGTAATAATAAAAATATTTCAATAAAATAAATCTTCCGAAACTTCTGGTTCAAATCAAAGGTAAATCAAAGAACTGTAGGTTTTAAAATATTTCAACTTTGGATCGTACTTTTTACCTTAAAGGTGTTAACAACACCGATATTGTCCCCAACTTACCACCTACAAAGCCTAGTAGGTGTGGGTTTTATCACAAAAGGCCTCAGTGATATTAGTAGTTGAACCATTCATTATATATTGTATTTTATTTAGTTAAGTTTTCGATGTGGGACTCATATTCTTCAACACACCCCCTCACGTGGGACCACCGCATAGTGGGCCACACGTGGAGCCAAGTCCACATTGAAGTCGATCATTCAAGCCCAACACATGAGCACAACGTATTGGGTAAAGGGTAGAGGTAAACATTTAAGCCCAACATGTGAACATTAGATATTGGGTAAGGGTAAAGGCCAAATTCAGGCCCATTCAATCAACCCGCTCTGATACCATGTTAAATTCAGAGAGACGGGCCAGTGCCCATTACTAACAACACCAATATTGTCCCAAACGTAACTGTCACGCCCCGAACCCGGGGTCAGTGAAAACCCTGCACTCGGTGCATGAGAAAATAAAAACTAAAATAAAATAAAAAGAAGCCGAAACATGGGTTTAAAATAAACTTCTCTTCTAAAAAATAGTTCTAAAATCTTACAACTTTACAAGAAATAAATAAAGCTCTATCACTCTCATCTAATTCAGCCTCAACTGGTTTTGTCCAAGTTAACTTGTTCAAAAAGATAAAAAGAGATTTTTTAGCTACTTAATAAACAAGATATGAATAACACAATTCTAATAATGAATATTATTATAAATATATACAATTATGTAAGTTAAATACCCAAGAAATGTCTAAGGGTACGCTTTAGAGAAAATCAAATAAGAAATATATTTTATAGTTATTCAAATAAACATATATATATTTACTAAGTATGAATAATTATTAAAATAGCATTGTAAATGTAAAACAGTACATATACATAAACGTTTAATCTTCTTTAAAAACTTTTAAGAATATGGATTTTCACAGTAACGACTAGGGGTGGGCAAGGATTGAAATATCGGCCGATACACCGATATATCTGCCGATATATCGGTATTTTCAACTATCGACACCGATACTGGGGGGTATGGCCATATCTTCCCATGTATCAACGATATATCCCCGATAAGTGCGATATTCCCGATATTTTGCCGATATCCCCGATATTTTCCGATACTCATAACAGAACCCAAAAAAAAATCAGAAGTGTTGAAGGCAATTGAAGCAAATTGAAACCCAAAAATAGCTAATCCTTGCCCAGAGCCCTATAATTTATTATTATGAAGAATCTATGCACAGTCTACTACCCACATACCTCCAATCCATCTAAAGAGGACATGGCAATCAGTTTTGGATCCATGAGCATAGGAACTAGACCTAGTATTAACTCAAATGAATCTTATGATGGCTATGGTTATGTCATGTATGATTATAGTGAAACTAGTTATGGAGCTCAAGATGATAAAAAATATTATGGACCTACTAGTTAGTTAATCCTAACTATCCCATATATGGGAGGACAATAGGGAGCTCAAGAGAGACCTATGTGCACCACATTCAAACATGGCTTACAAACTGCTCGGGTTACATGACTTGGTATGACTATTGTATGAATCTAGATGGTTGTTCCTCATTATTTGAACCTCATAAGAGCTCTTCATTTATGTAGATGTACACTTATCTAAATTGTAATCCAATGTTTAAACAAACTATGGATTTATGCATGGTTTATTCATTCTAATTAACATTTTATTTTCAAACTTTTCATTAACGCGCATTATATGCCACTTATATTTCATCATATGTATATATTATTATTAGTAAATTTTGAGTTTTATTTGTTCAATACATTCATTGATAATGTACATAACATCTATGAAAGTTTAACACTA